TCTCGTTTTTCATTTAAGGCCACTGTTTCCTTGTTGACTTTCTGTCTGGATGATCTGTCCATTGGTGTTAGTGGGGTGTTGAGCTCCCCTACTATTACTGTATTGTTGTTGATATCTCCTTTTAGTTTTGTTAGTAGTTGCTTTATGTACTTTGGTGCTTCTATGTTGGGTGCATATGTATTTATAAATGTTACGTCTTCTTGGTGGAGTATCTCTTTTATCATTATACACTGCCCCTCTTTGTCTCTCTTTACCTGTTTTGCCTTGAAGTCTGCTTTGTCTGATATAAGTATGGTGGCACCTGCTTTCTTATGTTCATTATTAGCTTGCAGTATTATCTTCCATCTCCTCACTCTGAGTCTGTGTTTGTCCTTGGGGCTGAGGTGTGTTTCCTGGAGGCAGCATATTGTTGGGTCTTGTTCTTTAATCCATCCTGCCACTCTGTGTCTTTTGATTGGAGAGTTCAATCTATTTACATTTAGAGTGATTTTTGAAATGTAGGGGCCTAATGCTGCCATTTTATCGTTTGTTTTCTGGTTGTCCTGCATTTCCTTTGTTTCTTGTCTCATGAATTTCAGACTACCAATTCAGGTAGGTAGTTTTCTATGTTGGTTTTCTCCTTATTTGTAATTTGTGTCTCTGTTCTATTTGTTTAGTGGTTACCATATAGTTTGTATTAAAACATCTCATAGATGAGGATATCCATTTTCTGATAGCCTCTTATTTCCTTAGATTAAGCCTGTTCCATCCCTGTCCTTTTCCCCTTCTAAGTTATTGTTGTCAGATCTTTTTTAATTCTCGTGTTGAGTTTGTGGTTAAAATGACAAATTATATTTATTCTTGATGTTTTCTTTCCCTTTATCTTTAATGTTACTTAAGCATTTGCTAACCTGTTCTGATGGAGAACTGCAATTTTCTGATTTTGTCTTTCAGTATTTTGAATATATCATCCCACTGTCTCCTAGCCTGTAAGATTTCTGCTGAGAAGTCTGCTGACAGCCTCATAGGGGTTCTTTTGTAGGGTATTTTCTTCTGCCTTGCTGCCCTTAATATTTTCTCTTTGTCCTTGACTTTTGCAAGCTTCACTACTGTGTGCCTTGGTGTTGGTCTTTTTACATTGATGAAGTTTGGAGCTCTGTTGGCTTCTGTCACGTGGACTTCCAGCTCCCTCCCCAGGTTTGGTAAGTTCTCAGCTATTATTTGAACAAGGCTTCTGCTCCATTCTCCTTCTCTTCTCCTTCTGGGATACCTATAATCATTATGTTGCTTTTCCTAATTGAGTTGGTTATTTCTCGGAGAGTTTCTTCATTTCTTTCTAGTCTTAGTTCTTTCTCCTCTATATGAAGCATTTCTATATTCCTATCTTCCAAATTGAGAATTCTGTCCTCCATATTATCAGCCCTACTGTTGAGGGAGTCCACATTTTTCTTAATCTCCTCCATTGTGTTTTTCATCCCCAGCATTTCTGATTGGTTCTTCTTTATAGTATCAAGTTCTTTGTGACGTAGCTCCTTAACTCATTGTCTATCTGTATTTTTTTTTTTCTTTTGAGGAAGATTAGCCCTTAGCTAACTGCTGCCAATCCTCCTCTTTTTGCTGAGGAAGACTGGCCCTGATCTAACATCTGTGCCCATCTTCCTCTACTTTATATGTGGGATGCCTACCTCAGCATGGCGTGCTAAGCAGTGCCATGTCCGCACCTGGGATCCCAACCGGCGAACCCTGGGCCGCTGAAGCAGAACGTGCACACTTAACTGCTGCACCACCGGGCCAGACCCTGTATTCTCTTTTAACTCGTGGAGTTTCTTAATGATAGCTATTTTGAATTCTTTGTCATTTAGGTTATAGATTTTTGTGTCTTCCGGATTGTTTTCTGGGCACTTGTCACTTTCCTTTTGTTCTGGAGAGTTAGTAAATTTTTTCATATTGCTTTATGGTGTGGATTTGTGCCTCTGGAGAGAGAGTGAGTTTGGTTACTGCTTCCACTTGCTGCCACTGGAGAGAGGGGGCAGCAGCCGTGTAATCTGTGCTGACCAGGATCCCTGTCAGCTGTTCCTGACCGAGCCTGGGCCCCTCCTCGGGATCACAGTGGCCCTGTGGGGGTCTCCTGTCAGCTGTGGGAACAAACACTAGGGGCCTTGGGGTTGCTGGTGTCTACTCCCACAGACCCGCCTAGGCACGCTCCCTCCTTAGGGTCTGCAGTGGTGTTATGGGCTTTCACGGCAGCCAGGAGCTGTGAGTGATTATAATCTCTTCTCCTTGTGCATAGGCTTCCTTCCTTCTTTTGAGCATGTGGGAAGAAATATGAATTTGGAAAGTGGCTGTTATCCTGTAAGAACTTGAAAGCTCTCAATTAACTTCTTGTTGGCAAAATTTCCCAACTGCAGGTTTAATCAGACTGTGGACTAGCTGTTGACTTTGTACAAATGATGTCACTCAGACGCAGTTTCCTTCTCTGTGAAACAAGCATTACAACAAAGCAGCAGCAAAAGACCACCAACCTCATTTAGTTGTGAGGATTAAAGAGAACATGCAAAGGATTTCCCATGAGTATTACTAAATATTTTTAAATGCTTTTATGCTCTGATTGCATCTTCCTTGGTTGAGATTGGGGGAGGAAATTTGGAATTTAGGAGATGCTGCTTTTGGACTTGTTTTTGTTGTTGGCACTACATTATTTCAGGGGTACGCAGTGCTTTCATGTGGTGCTTGCTGTGCAGCCCATCCTGGACTGTGCACCTGGGCATTGCTGGGAAGAAAGGATAGGAGGAGGGGTTGCTTACGGTGGCAAGGGCTGTGTGGAGTTAACTGAAGGCTTGTCTGCTCTGACCCCTGGCACTAGGAGCAGTGACCTGGGTGTTCTGCCTTGACGCTGAAGAGAGTCAGGCAGGAAAGGAGCCTCCTAAAGGTAGAAGGCTCCTGTGATGTCTGGGCCCTTCCCTTGAGAGGCAGGCCTAACCCCCAGTTGAGCTCATTTGCATACGTCAACAAGAGCAGTCTTCTGTCTGACTTCTGCAGTGTCCCGCAGGGGTTCTTCTCAGGCTCAGCCCAATATTCAGGCTCAGAAAGCCTACAACCGGCTCCATGTGGCTCCGGCTTACTCAAGGCTATAGGACAGGAACCACGGCAGGCCAGCAGGCCTCCTTCCATGCAGGAGACGACCCTAGAGCAGCAGTCTGTGTAGCCGAGCACCCACAGGGCTCCGGGAACTACCATCTCCCCACGTCAAAGCTCAGGGACCTCACAGGGTGCCTGCAGTTAGTTCCCATGCTCTGGGAAGTCCAAAGCTACGGTCTCCTGTCAAGTACCCAGCATTTCCCAGTCCAGATGCCACTCACCAGTCAGGGCACTTGCCACAGAGCAGTGCTGCCTGACATGACTGTTAGCACCCAGCACCCTGTCTGCTTTGGAGGCTAACAGAAGGCTGCAGGGTAACAGATTTTGTGAATCCTTCAGCTTTAACTGCCTAGGAAGTACTAAAAACCACCAAAACTCCACTGCAGCTTCCTTCCCCGCCGACAGACACTAGCCTGATGGGTGCACCGTGCTGTGCCTGGGACCCCTTGCTGGGCTCAGCGCGGCGGTGCTGAGTGTGGCTCGAGCGAACAGGGGGCCCTGCCTCCAGCCTCGGCTCGCCTCCACCTGCTCCTGTCCATCTGTGTTCAGGCATAGAGCTCTGCACGTCTCCCTTCTGTGCCGAGCCCAGTGCAGGACAGGTGGGCCCCGGCCTCAGGCTGCTCACTGACCTTGGGACAGTCCATCCTGCCTGTGGCCTGGGTTCTAAAGAGAAGGCAGAGGGCCCTGCCGCTCCCCAGCCAGCTTGCTGCAGAGCCATGCTGTCTCCACAGGCTCGGGGCAGCTGCCCAAGTGCAGCAGGTGCGCAGCTGGAGTGAGGGGGATGGCACCCAACAGCCTCCTGTCCGCAGTCAGACCTGCGGGCTGCTGCTCCTCAGCCTCCACGAGTCAGACCTGCGGGCTGCTGCTCCTCAGCCTCCACGAGAGTCAGACCTGCGGGCTGCTGCTCCTCAGCCTCCACGAGTCAGACCTGCGGGCTGCTGCTCCTCAGCCTCCATGAGGGTGAGACCTGCGGGCTGCTGCTCCTCAGCCTCCACGAGTCAGACCTGCGGGCTGCTGCTCATCAGCCTCCACGAGAGTCAGACCTGCGGGCTGCTGCTCCTCAGCCTCCATGAGGGTCAGACCTGCGGGCTGCTGCTCCTCAGCCTCCACGAGAGTCAGACCTGCGGGCTGCTCCTCAGCCTCCATGAGGGTCAGACCTGCGGGCTGCTGCTCGTCAGCCTCCATGAGGGTCAGACCTGCGGGATGCTCATCAGCCTCCACTGAGACGCTCAGTGCCTTCCGCCAGCCAGTCTCATCCAGCAGTGGTGACTCCTGTGGTGCAACTTAAGTAGCCCTTTTGAATACTGGTCACCCTCTACTGCATAGTCTGTCACATACATTAGCTGTTTCGTTTGTTTTTTTAAAGATTGGCATCTGGCTAATATCTGTTGCCAATCCCTTTTTTTCCCCTTCTTCTACTTCTCCCAAAGCCCCCCAGTACGTAGCTGTATATTCTAGTTGTGGGTCCTTCTAGTTCTGCTATGTGGGACGCTGCCTCAGCATGGCTTGATGAGCAGTGCCATGTCCACGCCCAGGATCTGAACCGGGGACCCCAGGCTGCTGAAGCAGAGTGCGCAAACTTATCCACTCAGACATGGGGCCAGCCCACCCCACCCTTTTTTAAAAATTCTTTAGGTTTGAAAATAACCAGGGTCAGTAATTAGGATTTGGGAAAGGAGTCTATTCAAGGAAGTGGATCCTGCCTTTGGTTCATCTTTACTATGTATTTTGAATAAAAATGCAGAATACAATCTAAATTAATATGTAGAAAAATAAAACTTCGGCAAAACAAACTACTGTTAAGGGAAGTTAAATTGTATGCTAGTATTTTCTGTATGTACTTAGCAGTGAAATATGTTACAGATAACATTCCAAGACGTCAATTCCATGGTTATAAAAAAAATTTAAGTTAATGAAATTTACAGTGCATACTGAAATAATGATACAAATGGAAATTTAAATTTCTGTATTAATAAGGAAGCCGTTTGGTATAGCAGCATTAATATCATTCACATCAGATTCCAATTTGTTATACATCTTTGTAATTCAGCAAATGCCCCTGGTAATGAAAAACAATTTAAAAGTGTTATTTACGTAGGACAAAAATAATGATCTATGTAAAAAAGGGGGGGACCAGAAGATTTTTTATATGCTTATTTCAAGATACATAAAATTTTCATGAATTTAAGAGGAATGAAGATATTCAAACACTAACAAAATCATTAGACTCATCTGTTTGAGAGTTCAGATGCTTACCTAACTCTTCAATCCATCTGGTTTTATAAAACAAACTTTGAACACAAACAAAAGCAGAAGAGTTCACATTACCTTTTTATATGTTCCTAAGTATCAAATTGCATCAATTTATTATGAATTAAAGAACATCACAGACTTAAAAACAAAAGAACAGAAGTGCCTGATTCTTTTTAGTCCCACAAATGCCTAGCATCCCAAAGTAACATGTAAACAAACCTCTATGCTGTTCGATGAATTCTTTCCAATCTCTAGAAGAAACTAAATAATATTGGACCTAGGATACGACTTTCATGTAAGTTACGGTTTCAATTATTACTTCGTATTAGTGATATAGCAAAAAGGGAAAATTTTCAACTATTGTATTTATTTAAAACAAACCGACAGGTTCAAGCACCTGTCTCCAGAAAGCCAGCAGCGTTTTTAACAGACTCCAAGTAGGATCTGGCCTGAGCCCTTAATACCTCCTAACAGCCGCACAGCCAGGCCCCTCAGGAGACGCTCCGCAGGGGGGAGAGCGTGGAGCAGTGTGCGCCCGCCCCGGGCACAGACAAGGCCACGCACATCCAGACTGCTGTGAGTGAACGGCTGTCGTGTTAGTACACTCGGAGCTCTATAGAACTAGAGCCACTATCACATATGCTCACATAGATACACACTTAGTACTTGTGACAAAGTCTCTGGGTGGTTTCAAAATTGAAGGATGATCTTTTTCCTGGTCAGTCACTTCAAGGGAGCAATAAATAAAGTAGAAAAGGATGAACTGGTTTGCATATTTCTGTGGAAGAACGGAAAACGTTTATACTGTGAGAGGTTCGGAAAATTCACTGTACAGAATGAACAGCTTATATACACTCTCTGTGCAGTTTTTCTCGGCTGGGGTGTTCACACGCAAGAGCTCCTCCGGGACGAGAAGCCACGTTCACTCTTGTCCAAAGCCCTCGGTCTCTTCTATTGCGAAAAGCAGCTTTTCCTTCAGTTGTTCATAACTCTTGTAAGGTGGCAGATCCAAGCGGTTAAAACTGAAAACAAAACAAAGATGTGTTTTCAATAAAACAAACTCTGTAAAGATTTCTAACACAGTATTTTTCAGACCACATTTGAGGAACTAAATGGACAGTGGAAGTATGTAAAAATTTTGCCAGAAGTATTCTAACAATTGACTACTATCATAGCACTTAATATTAACATATACAAATTTCTTAAAGCAATCCATTCAAATTTAAGACCTAGTCATAAAAATACTTTAACATTTCCCAGAGAAAACTGGAATTACAAATAATAATTGCAGCAATATGGATAAAGAGTGCAATTTTTAAAAGATCTCTAATTTTCTGTTTTTTTTGTACCGTTTCTGTTACATTGTGCCAGGAGTCCCCTGATTTCTCTTGGCTTAGAAGAGTCCATTTCTTTCACTCATCACTCACCACTCATCAGTTATTTATTGATGTGCTATTCTATAGCAGGTATTTTTCCAGCAGCCAGTGATACAGTGATGAAAAACTAAAATCCCCATCCTCGTGGAACTTAAATTCTGGGGTGAAGACAGTCAACAAACAAACAGATACTTTTTGTCTTTTCAAATAATCTCACCATATGTATAACCTTTTCTAAAAGGACTTGTTTTCAGTCTTGCCAGACTCAAAGAATTCCCTGCTGGGATTAACAGATGAAATATAGAAAATATTGAAATTAAAATATCAGTGTACTATTCTTCAATTTACAAAGGTGGAACAGCATTGAAGTTTTAAGACACAGCACTGAGTAGGTGAAGAGGATCAGAGTCCAGGGTTTCGGCCCCTCTATCAGTGTCCAGTGTGGCAGCTCTGAGGAAGTCAACCTTTCTGGCTCTTCACCTTCTCCTGTGGAAGGTGCCCTCCTACTGCCCCTGATGCCACCTGCCCTGACCCTACTCCCAGGGAAGAGTCAGGAAACCTGACAATCCAGGGCCTTCTGAACAAGGCCACCAATCAAAATGCTGCTCCTCTCAGACCACTTCAACCTCCAAATATGAAAGAAGTTAAACGTATTAGCAGCAGCAATTCAGCCGACTGGTTGTCTTCCTACCCCCGCCCCACCTCGTCCAGTCTGATAGTGGGGTGAAGTCAGGAAAAAATGTTGCAGTCGAGTCCTACACCAAGACAACCAGCCGCTTTCTGGTTCTCCCACACGTTTCTTACACAAAGAGCCTCTGTCCAGTTCTGTCCTCCTGTCCACAGAACCTCTCCCATCTCTCCCTCCCGAGCATTCCGCAGCTCCCATCCTCTCATATACACACTTCCCCATCGTCCCTTATCTGGGCCATCAGAATCTCCTGCCTTCTGACCTTGCGGACAAATTTTTTTTTATGTTCTCCACAACCTGTCTAGCCTTCTGTCACCACCAGCGTACACACCTAAGACGACGTGCCAGTCTAACCTTTGCTGCTTCCAGGGACTGGACGGGGTGGGGGCCCCCGCAGCTTACCTAAGGCTCCCCAAGGATGCCACACGCTTTCCTGTCCTATGGCCATGCTCTCACGGCTCTCCTACGGTCTGGAATACCCTTTCCTGCCTATGAAAATATCATTTATTCATCAAGAATCAATCTGAATGCTACAACGTCCTCCAAGAATTCTTCTTGAGCGTATTACGCTGATAAGAATTCCCTCCTCCACAGAGCATCTAATCTACTCTATCATGACCGACTGTTCTTCCACTGGACAAAAACCCACGAGGGCAGAGCTACCGCCGTCCTCTCCTGACACTGACCCACTTCGCACACAGTGGACATCTAGGAAGTGCTTAGTTGAACCACGTGAGAGAGAGGGTTACTGGAAACATCCAGAGCAGGGTTCTGCTTTAGGACGTGAGGTGTTACGTTTTCTGCTGGTTTACAAAAGGACAGAGAGAGACTAAAATCTCTTCACCTTTTATTGAGTGCCGACTACATGAATAGCAGAATACTGTTTGAAGGTTTAGTTTAGCTTTTGTTTTAGTTCCAGCTTTGCGCCCGATGTGCCGCCTCCACCTCCTTATCAGTAAGAAGGGAAGACAGAGAGCAGCGCGCGTCCGCGGACAGGGAGCGGCGAGGAGCCCCCCCGAGGGCCGCAGCTCGCCGAGGGCAGCGCTGCAGACGGCGGCCGCGGGACCATGGGAGCTGACCACGGCCGCGCCCCTCTGGACCGCCCGTGTGCACGCAGGCTCTGCCCCAACTCTGAGCCGCGACCTCCCTGAGCCCAATCACACGCCCAGCGCGGCCTCCATCTCAGGCCTTTCCGATCCGTCCTCCGAACTCACTCGACGATGTGCAGTCGTCGACAGTCTGAGCAACTCCTCTCCTGCCTTAACGGAAATGCAGCTCGTCTGAGCCCAGCATTTCCCCCGCGGCCCTCGAGCCGCGCAGCCCGACCCGCTCAACCGCAGACCCGCTGCGCAACCGCTGCCCGGCATCCCGAGCCACGCGCCTCCGGGAGACCCACGCGCTTCCGGGAGGCCCACGCGCTTCCGGGAGAGCCACGCGCCGCCGGGAGAGCCACGCGCCGCCGGGAGAGCCACGCGCTGCCGGGAGACGCGGTCCGCGCTCCACAACTCGCCCGCGCTTTCCCCCCAGAGGCCTTTCCTTTGTTCACCCTGAGCCAGGGACCTCAACTTCCACTTGGAGAAGATAGAAACCAATGGTCGATAACTATTCGCCCTGCACAAAATCTAGACCCTACCTATAGGTTATACCCGACTTTTCTCCCTCTACTCGTACAACAAAGGAAGTGTTCCTGTTTTCCTCAAAGGCCCATTCCTTAACTAGTACTCAGAACCCCAACCTCATCACCTTTCTGACGGAACTAGCTCCTTTGGTCATGAACTCTTCTCTCCTCTGCCTGGACAACCTCCCCTCCTCGACGGGACTCACCACTTTAACCTAGGCTGGGATTTTCAATGTGGGGGGTCACAGGATCCCTTTTCACAGTTAAACATATTGAGAACCCCAAAGAGCTTTTGTTTATGTGAATTATATCTGCTGATATTTACTATATTAAAAGTTAAAACTGAGAAACTTAAAAAAAATTCATTTTAAAATAACTTTTTCAAAAAAATGACTATTTTCAAAAACAACAGTGAAAAAAGTGACCTTATTTTATATTTTGCAAACTGTTTTAATGTCTGCCTTAACAGAAGACATCTGGATTCTGCTGCACTATGCTGTTTTGGTTTAAGTGTATGAAAGTCTGTCCCCACACAGAATACAGCTGGAAAACGGAGATGTACTCTGGTCATTTTTTCAGATGTCTTGGGGGCGTTATTCTTTGATACCATACAGAAGTTGACAAGGTTAAGTAGTATGGGTCCCGAAATCATATCAAAGAACTTTTTGTACTCCTACGTAAAATCCACTGGTTTATCTGGCACTTTGAATGAAAGCTTTTACCCACACACAGTTCTGTAACATCACCATGCACTGGCCATTTGGAAATATTGGTTCACCAAGTCACAACATTGTGTCCCAATGTGACACAGTTGATTATATAATAGGAAGAAAATCACAATCGTTAATTAAACCCCCAAAATCATCAGAAAAGTCTTGGGAAGCTTGGTGGATACGAGTTTTCCAAATGCTGTCAACAAATGCTATCAGCTGTTTCCCTTGAGGTGACAAGCTGACTTCATTACTTTTCAAGAAAATTTTTACCAAATACCCAAGTCTGAACAAACACCGTTTGTCTGCCAGTCATTCTTCAAGTAAAAACAGTGTCACATGACAAAAGCAAGCTGGTTCAGCTTTCGCCCTCGAGCTTCTCCCAGGGCAACCAGCGCTCTGGTGTGGAGAACGCCGCACGCAGACGCCCGTTCTCTCACACGGGACATCCAAAAGACAGACTCGAGCCTCAGGAGTAAGCGCTCCTGCTTCACAAAGAACACCGTCTGCGAGCCAGGCGTTTGTGCTTTAACCTGCGGTGTGCGGTGTGACGGAGTTGAGACAGTGGCTGGGGCCACGGCCCGACTCGTGCTAAGGCACCAGTGGTCTTACCCGCTGTTGCTTTCGCACCACGAGTGCCAACGTCAGCACCATGAGCAGGCAGCCCACAGCTGGTGGAAGCAGAGTCCTGACTCCTGAAAGAGCCACGTGCCCTTACGCCACCCCCTCCTCTGCGGTTCCGTGCCTCACCCCTGCCTCACCCCCGCATCTGTGCCTTCTCTCCTCTGTTGCCAGTGATCGGCCTTGCATCTCAACTTGCTCTTTAAAACTCTTCCAAGGCCTCTACCTGCCTGAGAATGACATGCAAACGCCTTAGAGAAGCCTCCAGGCCTTCACATACGTTAGCCCTGCCCACACTCCCAGACTCTTTTTCTCCCCCCTCTGGATTAACGAAGCTCCATTCACAGCAGCCATCTTTCATTTCTTTGAAAAGCGGCTTCTTTCTTCAGGGTCTTGGGGTGACTGACCTGGACAAACTACGCGCTTCCCGCTTCCTCCCACAGCACGCGAGCACCAAGGTCAAACATCGCATCTCCCGTGGAAGGCCCCTGGCCGCCCGCCCTGCGAGGGTCGCTCTGGCTGTCCTCGTTCCCCTCGGAGGGCGTCCTAGAACTTGCAGTGCTGGTTTACCTGTCCACCATCTGTGCCCGTCCCCAACGAGCGTGGACTCCACAGAAGGCAGGGAGCCCTTCAGCTTCGTCTCACACGCTCAGGGGTGCTCGGCACTTGTTGAACCAATGGATGCGCTTCTCAAGGATTTATGTTAACTGACTAGAAGTCACTCTCAAGTGTCAGTCACAGAACACCGTACTGATCAGTCCGTCGTCAAAATGGAGATCCCAGCATCGTCAATGAATAAGCAGTAATCCCGGGTCTGAATCCTTAAAAAACAGAAGACTCACTCTGGCTCTCACCTTCCTGTTTAGGATTCTCGGACTTACCATGTGTGGCTTCTTGGTAACCAGGTGTCTTTGCCAACTTTTTCAATGCAAAACTTTTGAGGTCCATTACTTCCTAAACCAGGAAAATAAGACAGAATTTATCTGGTCCTTTCAACCTTCTGGTTGTGACAACTAGTTAAGTAAGAGACGATGTCGCACAGGCCCGGGAATGACAGAGCAACCCACAAGGTGAACCGTTCTGCTGGCGCAGCGCCTTGCCGCTGCGGAGGTCCAGCCCGGGAAGGGGCGTCAGTCACCCCACGGAGCAGAGTGCCGGCCACGGCCGTGCGAGCAGACCGTCATTCTGTCCGACCAACGCATCCGTCTGTCTTCCGGCAGAGCCCGCACGGAGCCAGAAGCAGCTGCCTCAGGTCACCCTACTCCGCGCCCGGCACAAAGCCCCGCGGCCGCACTCACCCATGAGCTCCGCAAATCCTCCCAGGGGCAGCCGGCAGGTCCCCGTGACAAACTGCAGCAGGCGCATCCGGACCTCATTGTCCGTCTCCTTCACAAACTGCGGAAAACCAAAGGGACTTGAACGTGCGATAAATGCCAAATCATCTTCACAATAACAACAGGAGACAAATTATCCCTAAATCTCTTCAAGAAAATTAAGACTTTATCTTGAAGAATCAAACATTTAACACTGAAATTGGCTCAAAACGCCTGTGACGAAAGTGGCTGTGGCATCCGTCCTTTACTAAGGCCCTCGAGGCACCAAGCCAAGGACCGAACGCGACTTCAGTCACTCCCACGGTGCACGCAGGTGCCACTGTGCTCAGCCCCTCCCAGGGCGAAACGGACGCTGCGAGCGCCCAGTGTTCCCCCAGGCCAGGCCACCAGCAGCCCCCCGGCAGAGGCTGGCCATCGCTGCCAGGCATGGTGCCACATGCCTGCTGGGTACTGAACCCTCACAACTCTGCGAGGAGAGAGGCACTTCACTAACGTCCCCTCTGCACACACCGGGACGCGGAGGCCGAGAGGGGGAGTGACTCGTCCTTCTCCGACTGCTACTAAAGAGGCAGCGGGGACTCCCACGTCAGGCTGGCTCAGTCCAGACCCATTATCCTGACTGAGCCAACAGCCCTCCTCACCCATGAGCTTCCAAAGACAAAGAGACAGTTCCCCACTGCCACCCTCGAGAGTTTGTGGTATTTTTCCCCACCAAACACCATTTTCGCAACTTTTTGTGTTCTTCATACTTGAAACCCCAAAGTATGCATTCTTCTAGAAGAATCCAGCTCGCTGACTCACTCTGTTCACAGAGGGCCATAGAGGAGCAAGGCGGGCAACACTGAGTTGAGCTGGTCTGAGAAGCTCAGGGCCGCGCACTTAGGGGCGGTCTGGGCAGAAACGCGTCTTCAACACAGGGCTGCCCCTTCGCTGAGGACAGGGCAGAAGGCCGTGCTGGTCATGAACGTCTCCACACAGAGCTGTGCTGAGCATGGCTCTCATTACGACACGAGAAAGAGCCATGGCCAGGCCTGGCCCAAACTTCACCACTCTCCCTGAAACAAACCCAAGCAGGAAAGAGCTCCTCGTGTGGATTTACGTGAGCCCAGCCTAAGCTCCTCCGGGCCCAGACGGAGACATCCAAACGGCCCGTCAGAGCACGGGGGAGCGAGGAGGCTGGCAAAGGGCCTCAGGGGAAGCTGGCGGACACCTGCATGCAGCTCTCTGTGAGGCAATTCAGATACTCTAGGTGTGAAAAGGGAGTGATGCCCACCTCTCCGTTGGTGTATTTATTTTCTCTAACAGGTAACGGGGACACACAGTATAGAACTCAAAGGCAGGAAGCGGGGACACTGTGAGAGCTACTTCTGCGCCCCCCACGCCGCTCCCCCGGACCTGCTGCGGGTCCCTCTCCACCTCCTCCGAGACGGCGCATCCACAGACAGCACACGCTCTGCCTCTACACGACCTGAGTTTCCTTCTAACCAAATACCATCACAGCATGCACACCTTCCTTTTCCCCGAATGCTGCACTGAAACATACTATCCTCCAATATTTTTGTTAATTTGCATTTTAAAAAGTGCTTCCGAGGTAGAGAATTACAGAATGGATACTGTGTAAGTCACGGACTCAGTCCTCTCCAGATGGGCATGCAGAAGCTTCAGGTCTCAGTTAGTAAGGCACTAGCACGGTGGCAAGTCCCCTGGCACGGGCCGTGTGCACATGTTGAGGGATGTCTGCACAATAAAGGTCTACAAGTGTGCACACTTCATTACAGCACCAAGCAATAAACACAGGACACATGTCCTTACGGAAAGATGAAACTTTTGGAAAATCTTTCTATAATAATACAAAAACCCAGGCTTACTCTTCACCTGAAAGTGAACCAGTTGAGCCTAAGTGAACCCGAAGTTCAGTCACTAAGCGGCTCGACTGAGTCTCAGTCAGCAGGTTTATGTGAAGAGTATCGAAATTCTGAAATAAACACAACAACAAAACAAAATGTCTCCTGACAAGTGCTTCAAGATCAGCTGCAGCACTTGGATGCCCAGAGACCAGGCTATTCGAGTTTTAAGCCAAAACAGAAACAAAAGGAAGGAAGAGAGAGGGAGGAGAGAGAGAAATGGAAGAAGACAGCCATCCTTGGACGTGATCCTCCAGATCACTCCAACTCCTAGCACAGCAGCACCTTCAGAGGAATCGAGCATCTGCACTGACTTTCTCATTAAAAACATGCTTCCTCCGTTATGTCCAGTATTAAGCAGAATGGGTGGGAATACTTTGATACCACTAGGGGAAAACTGCTGGATCTACCACTATGACCACTGAACTATTACATAAAGGAGATTCTGTCGTTCATGCCCTCCTGTAGGAAGACGGCCAAAACAAGCAACGGGCAGTCCTTCAGCGTGGGTTCCCACCATTCACTTCTGATGCAGAATTCAAAGACCACGTCCACAAACAGTCTTCATTTAAAACATAAACTGTCTTTAAACCGCTGTTTCCTTAGAAAATGTTTTCTTTGAATACTGTGTTTTGAAAAAATAAAAGCAAATACCTGCCAAAACCAAATGATCTGCTTGCTGTTTCTTGTATAGTGTCGATACACAGCGTTTCTCTGCCAGTCCGCCAGGTCGACCTCCTGCATGCCACACAGCATCACCTGGGAAGGGAGCACAGGGCCAGGTCACAGTCGGGGCCCAGCAGGAGAACAGCTGGACGGAGACCTGCTCACGCGCAGCTAAGCTTGTGCGCACTTACGTCCCAGCCGTGCGCGTGCCAGAAGGACCCCAGGAAGCCAGTCCAACAAAACCTGCGCCAATTTAACTCACAGGATTCTTAGCACTTCATCTTACCCGTTTATCGAGCTCAAACTGAAAATAACATTCAGAGTAACTATTCTTCCAGAAAAACATTAGCTGTGCTAAAAAGAGTATCTTTTACTATAAATATATCCCCAATTATTGATAAGTTTCAAATATAAATTTCTGGTTCTTTTTAAAAAAACATCTATGCTATCTTACCTATTTAAAAGTAAAAATAAACTAATCTCCTGTTATTCATTTATCCAAGTTTTGGGAATAAAATATTCTACATATGTGAAATTTTCAAATAACCCAAGTTAGTTATATATGGGATGAAAATTATTTTGGGCATAATAAAACAGTTAATTTACATACAATAAAATGCACATATTTTAAGCATAGAGTTAAATGAGCTTTGACAGATGTATACACCTGTGTAACCCACCACAATTAAAAGGTAGAATACTTCCGTTATGTCTTTTTTTGCAGTCAAAATCACCACCCTCATCTTTGGCTCTAGGTGATGATTTCACCACAGATGAGATTTTTGAGAGTATCATACATAGTGTACATGACGCGCACACACTCACTCTCATTTCTGTTTTGTTCCCCCTGCTCAGCAGGTTTATGAGACTGATCCGTATGGCTGTGGGCACTGCTTTCACTCACTGAGTGGCATTTCAGTGCACGAACAGACACCATTTATTATCCTTTCCCTTGTTGGCGGACATTCAGATTACTTCAAAGTTTTGGTATTGATGAATAAAGTTGTGATGAATATTTATGGCAAAGTGTGGGTGTGAACACATATTTCATTTCACTTGGGAAAATCCCCACAGTGGAACTGCCAGAGCATAAGGCTGATGCATGTCTAACCCTGTGAGAAACTACCAACACTGACCCAAACCGGGATGACATTTAGTTTTCATTTCCTTTCCTCGGTGACTAGCAAGCATCTTTCACATGTTTATGCCATCAATGTAGCCTCTTTCGTGAAGTGAGTCTTTGCCTATTTAAAAAAATTTTTGACTTTTTACTGAGTCATAGGAGGTTTCCGAATATATATTCCGGATATAAGACCTTTGTCTCAGTAGTTTCTCCCGGTGTGCAGGCTGCCTTTTCATTTACTTAACAGAAGGTTCTAGTTTTGAAGAAGTCCAATTTATCCTGAGTGTGTGTGTGGTTTATCACATTTTTGTGTTCTAAGAAACTTCCGCCTACACTAAGATTTTTTCCTGTTTTCTTTATAGCTTTCATATTTATGTTTATGATTTATTTAAATTAGTCTTTATTTATGGGCTGAAGTAGGGGTCAAGGTTAATTTTCCTCCATATGGACACCCAGCTGACCCAGCATCACTTGCTTAAAGGGCTGTCCTTTTCCCCACTGAAATCTACCAGCACTTTTCTTGAGAATCAACTGACAATATGTGTGGATTCTCTTGTCCCACTTGTCACACACACGACACTATCTCAGTCGCTATGGCTTTGTAATAATCCCTAAAGTCAAGTCATGAGCATCCTGCAAGTCTGTCCTCTTTCAAAATCGTTTTGGCCAATCCAGAGCCTTTGCACGTCCTTGTAGTTTTAGAATCACCTTGTCAATTGCTTTAGAGACTCCTGCTGGGATGCTGACTGGGATGGCACTGAACGTACAGATCAATCTGGAGAGAAGCGACATTTTTACAACACTGAGCCTTCAAATACATACCATGGAGCATCTCTGTTTATTCAAGTCTTCTTTAATTTTCCTGAGGAACTGCTGACTTTTAGTACACAGGTCTTACACGTCTTTTGTTATATTTGTTCATTTTTTTGATGCATTAGTAAGTGAAGCTTTAAAATTTCAATTCCCAGGTATCTGTTGCTAGTATATACAAGACACATGATTGATTTTTAAATTACTGACCTTGTACCCTGCAGTCTTGCTAAATTCACTATTATTTCTAGTAGGTTTTGGGTAGGTTCCTTAGGATTTTCTAAGGTGACAATCGTGTTACCATCTGTGCATAAAATGTTTTATTCCTTCCAACCTTTATGCTCTTTCTTCCTGGTTGTGCTGCACTGTACTGGCTGCGGTATCTGGCACAATGCAGAGCAGAAGTGGAGAGAGGGGACATCTTTGCCTTGTTCCCACCTCAACAGGGACTATCCACAGCATCACCATTTAGCATGATGCCAGGGTTTTATCTTCTAGATTCTTGATGTCCTTTATCGAACTGAGAAGGCCGCCTGTATTCCTGCGTGAGGACAGTTTTATAAAGAACGACTGTCCATCTTCTTCAAGTTTACAGATTTCAACACGTAAAAAGAGGCATGATCATGAATAACAGTATGAACGCCTATGACTGTGGCATTATTCATGGTTGAGAGAGACAACGCATGGGAGTGAAAATCAAGACAAAGCAGACAAACAAAGATGTGTCTTTTCTCACCGTTCTGACTGTGAGCTAAGGGCGAATCGGTAACCAGTAAAGGGCTTGAGTCCCCCTGTCTGTAGAAGGAAATGATCATATGGCCAAACCACGTCCAGGGCTGGATGTGAGTGCGCTGGAAACGCGACCAGAGGCTCCGGAAGAGCGCGCCCGCCCACACCCTTCCCGACCTACTGCTTCAGTGCCCCTCTGCTCTGACGGTGCGTTCTCGCCCTCAGCCTCGTGTCACCGGGTGGGGCCCTAAGATGGGGGATCGTAACCAGGGGTTTGGAATACTTTAGGTGTATGTATTTTGAGGATGCAAAATTGTTTAACTTTCTTCAGATTCTTAATGTACTCTGCGATTAAAAAAATGATTAATATTACTCTAAAAACATTTTCCATTCTCTTCTTCTAATGCGCTTCTGTTAGTTCTTGTGAGCAAGCTGTTAAGAAAGAGACGTTAACCAGGTTTAGAGGGTCTACATGTCATGCAGGCTTGGAGTCCTGATTTTCATATACTTCCCAGGTCAGTCAGTTTCCAGAAGGCTCATTTCTACATAGAAATATTACTGTATAAAATTTAAAATGCTAATTTTTCATATACACACTTGATTACATGAATGAACCAAGTTTCTTAACAGAGGACCCATGATGGTTAAGTTACAATACTGCGCCCACAGCAGGCAGAGAAGACACGCCATGGCCCCTCCGAAGGCCCTGCCTATGTTCTGGCCTGTGTGGGGAAGGAGGGCTTCACGACACCCAGAACTAATCAGACCCAGCAGTACCAGTCCTGGGGACATAGCCACAGGAGTTGAAGTGAGGTCTCAAGGAGACATTTACCCCCATGGTCACAGCAGGATTATTCACAACAGCCGAAAGGGGGAGGCAACCCAAATATCTATCGACTGATGAATGGATAAACAAAATGTGGTGAAGTACTATCCACCCTTAAAGGAAAGAATTCTTACACACACTCCGATATGGCTGAACTGGGAGGACATCATGCTAAGGGAAATAAGCCAGTCACAGCAAGACCAATAGAAACACAGCATGGTGCCACTTACACGAGAAACAGACAGGCAGCTGCCAGGGCTGGGGAACGGGAAATGGGGAGCTGTTGTTTAGTGGGTGCAGAGTTTCAGTTTTGCAAAATAACAACGTTCTGGAGGTTGGTTGCACAATCATGTGAACATACTTAACACTGCTGAGCTGGAGACTTAAAAATGTTCAAGATGGCAAATTTTATGTTACGTGAATTTTATCAGCAAAATAATAAAAGAACTCCTGATATTGTTCTCATAAGTCTAAATACAGTTAAGACCACCAAGAATTCCTGAATTAAAAATCTGATCTTAGGGGTTGGCCCGGTGGCCCAGCAGTTAAGTGCGCACGTTCCACTTTGGCGGCCCGGGATTTGCCAGTTCCGATCCCGGGTGCAGACATGGCATCACTTGGCATGCCATGCTGTGGTAGGCGTCCCACATATAAAGTAGAGGAAGATGGGCACAGATGTTAGCTCAGGGCCAGTCTTCCTCAGCAAAAGTTAGCTCAGGGGTAATCTTCCTCAAAAAAAAAAAAATCTGATCTTGGGCCGACTCACTACTAATCCAGGATTTCAGAGGGTCCCCAGAACTATTAACAAGGCTGCACTCACTCTTTAGGACCCCTAATGGTTGGCATTGGGAGATGACACCACCATGGTTCAGAGGCGGTGATGCCAGAACCTTAAAACCCTTAAACACGTGGATGAATGAGAGGACTCAAGATTGTGCCTCAGGACTTAAACTGTGTGGGCACGCCTCTGTGAAGGCACAAGAACAGTCCCTCCCCATCAACGCTCCCCATTCAGCCTCACTGAAGAGCCTCACCTCCAGTTCTTTCTCATCGAAGTACTGGAGCCACTGGAGGGGAACAACTTCATTAAAGCCGTCCAGGAAAGCTTTGGTCTGCTCTTGGACTCCTCGAGAAAAGCGCCACTCCGTCATCAGACTGAAAACAAAGACCGCGTTTAAAACAGGGAATCTGCACGCGAGGTAAAAGGCTGAGAAACACCAAGTACTTGTAAGATGCCTTCCCCTTTTCTAAATATGCCACGTACACACATAAAACCTACAGGTTTACGTGGGCATGTACGTAATCTAAGGGCTAACACGTTTCCACACGAGGAAATCAGTTCTAGCGTATCAGCAGCTATAAAAAGGATGCTTTTCAAAGTAAACAGGACGCTCTTCACGTGTCAGGAAGACGGCCAAATTCCAGCACTAATTATTTCCTGTTCGTGTCTAAACAAGTAACTCCAAACACTGCTGACACGGCCAGGGAACGGCCACAGGCACTGACTCCCTTGCAGCGGGGCTCCTGCCAGGAGGCCCGAGCAGCAGCCTCCCCAGCGAGGGGACGGGCATGGGCCACACCCGCTGTCTGGGAGGGCAGAAGGCGGGACAGCTGCTTCTTCACATGCCCATTTACTGGCGAACATGAAGATGTCCCAGCCAGGAGAGAACAATTTAAGACGGAAATAAAACATTCTGAAGAGACACATGCAGCAGCTGTAGAGCAGGGAAGACAGTAACAGAGAAACTAGGAAGAAAATCTGTGAGTGACACAAATCTGGGAACGGAGACGGGTCTGGAGCTCCTGTGGAGAAGCCAGCGACACCCGCGGGCAGAGGGAAGCCGGCTCATGCCTGCTCCTCCCACTTCCAACGCCTCCTCCTGTCCTAGAGGCTGGCCCGCCTCTTCCAGACAGTCTGTCACCCTCGCTGCCTCCAACACTTTTCCCCACCAGTCATTAGCCCGCTTCCTTCTCAGGCCCCAACCATGCCCCCCACTCCCTTCCCATCTGCCACGGGCGCTCAGACCATGCTTCCCAGAGCCCTCCTTCCACCCGGCGTGCGGCAGCTCCTCTCTGCTCTCTACGCCGACTACGCACATTAAGACAGTGTCTACACTCACCGTCCCCACCTTCTCACCTCCCGTCACCCAGATTCTAAAGCACCGTAGTCTGGCTTTCAAATCTCCTCCCCCAGGAAGAAAAGGCCTTCTGCACAAATGTCACCAAGGAGCTTCGAACTGCCAAGCCCAGGCCATGTGTTCAGTGCCCCTGCTCCGGGCACCTCCTGCGACCCTGGGCGTCGGCGCCCCCATCCTCACACTGTTCTCCCCAGTCTGGCGACACCCCTGCTCCTGACCCGACTCTGGCTACCCCTGTGCTTCCCCCATGGGCTCCACCATCACCGAGACCTCTGCCTTCCTTTCCCTTCCAGCTCTTCACCATCTAAAGAGGATATCGTTCATTACCAAAGCTTTAACTAGCCCAGAAAAGCCAGCAGTTCTTAAATTCCCAAGTCTGCTTTCCTCCCGAGACCAAGATGTAAGTCATCTCTCCTTGGATAGATATCCCACTAACACACCTAACCGTGAACCAAGCAGACGCCTCAAGCATCAGATACTTCATTTACTGCCAGTTCCCAAGACACAGAATGGATCTGAGCCTGAGCTGCTCTCTGCCCATGACATCCTCAGAAACCCACGCCCTCCTGTCCATCCCAACTGTCCGCCTGTGTCGGGCCTGCGATCCCCAAGTACTCGACCACGAGACCACCTCTCAAGCAGTGTTCCGAGCACACCCTCCCACCTACCAGGCCCACTTGTCCTCCATACACACGCTGAGGACAATTCTGACCATCCTCTCTTGGTTTTGGTTTGTTTTTGATGGCTCCTTACATTAAAGCAAAAACCCAAGGGTTTTTTTCTTTTTTTTTTCCAGAAATAACAGCGTTTCCTCAGCCTGAGGCACAATCCGGCTCCATTCGAGGCTCCTGTGCGGCCGCTACTCCTCACCGTCTTCCAGCATCCTCACGCCACCGTGGGTAAGGCCACCCCTTCACGGCGCGGCCCCTCTGCTCCTGCTGTCTCCCCCTCCAAAAAGCTCCCCGTCTGTCAGCCGGCTTTCCTCGTCTTCTAAGCCCTCTCTTCACGCAGCGTCCCAGCAAGAACCTTCCAGAGTCCTCCCAGCAGAATCAACAGCTTCCTTCCTGCGCTGGGTTCCCACCGCACTTCACACTCCTTCCACCACTCATTTACCCCTCGATTCACTGATGTCTGACTTTGTGCACTAAAAACAAAATACCCCAGGGCCGGCCCCGTGGCCTAGTGGTTCCATTCGGCGTGCTGTGCCTCAGCGGCCTGGGTTCAGTTCCCAGGCGCAGACCTACACCACTTGTAGCAGCTGGCAGTGACCCACATACAAAATAGAGGGCGATTGTCACAGATGTTAGTTCAGGGACAATCTTCCGCAGCAAACAACAAAAACAGAACCAAAAACAACCCACAAAATATCACAACTGGAAAAGAAGAGTAATTTTAAACAGCAAGATTAAAAAACAAGATTAAAATCTGCTATGGTTTCAGAGACTGAAACAAAATCCTCCAAAAATTATTAAATTCAGGATATCAACTCTTATATAGTAGGTACTATACAGATAAGATTTTAAAAAATAGTGGTTACCTTAACGCAAAGTATAAAATTCAAAGTAGCAAACTAAATATAAACTTTACATGATGAAATTTTATTTAATCTGATTTTGATATTTGAAAATGCTGATTTTTTAAAAATGTTTACGTTGTGCTATTTAATAATTACTGTCGGATTTTGTGGAAAGCTTAAGGTTTAACAAATATAGAAAGCCTAGTGCCTTATGCACTATCTTTGTGAATTTATTTCTTCAAAATGTGAAGAGCTTCCTTGTTTTCTCCACTAAGAGTAACAAATGCTCAGTGCATGACAAACAACCAAAATGAAAATACCGCGGAGACTCAAAGATGTACAAAGGAGAAAATATGTTATTAGTAATTCCTCCATTCAGAGAAAACTACGTTAGCAGAAAAACACGGAGCAGGCGGCCCGCACTGCCATGCTAAGGAGGCGGCGAGAGCGGAGCAGAGAGACAGTCAAGGGCGTGATGGCGAAAGGCCACGCGCCTCACAGGTCCGAGGGAGGAAGAGTCGCTGTGGCCTTCCAGGAAAGCAGCACAGGATCTACTACACACTCTTTGACCTAACAACATCCCCTCTGGAAGTCTACAGCCCAAAGACAAAAGCAGCAGGACACACGGACACATGATCGAGGTTTTCTGCTGCCTTGTTTGTAGTGGCCCAAACTGGACACAACCTGAATGACCCCTCGGAGCAGAAACGGCTGAATGACACAGAATGGTACATCACGACTTGTCCAGCTATTAGAAAATGGGTCAGATCCATCTCTACTGGCCTGGAAGGTGGAAAAAACAAGCTTCAGAGTAATGTGTATATGATCCCATTTTTTAAACAAATATAAAAAACAAAAAGTCTGAAAGGTTTTAAGAGACAAAAATGACACTGAGAATCCAAGTCTAAAAGATAGTGAAAATGGTAGTACCATTAATAGAAATAGGTCAAGAAGAGGCAATGGAAGGAAAAAATGAGAAATTTGATTTTGGATTTAAGATTTCAGATGAGTCATTTAGTAGTTCAGGAGTAGGCAAGCTATGGCCATGGGCCCAGTTTAGCCCGTCATCTGCTGTTGTACAGCATGGAAGCTAAGAACAGTCTTCATAGTTTTTAAACACTGGTTGAAAAAGCATTAAAAGAATAACATCTGACGATGTGGAAACTGCATGAAATCAAGCGTCAGAGTGCCTCGGTGGTTTTACTGGAACTCAGCACACCTGCTGTCCACACTGTCTGAGGCCGCTCTCACGCTCGAAGAGCAGAGTGGAACAGCTGCGACAGGACCGTAGGCGGCTCTCAGGCTCAGGGCAGTAACTATCCGGCTCTTTCCCAGGAAAGTCTGGATTCACCTGGCTGGCAAACGGAAATGATTTCTAAAGTTCAGATACTAATGGAACTTTCTTCAATAGAAAACTGAAGCCAGGGTAGCAGACTATTTAAAGAAGTGGGTTGAACAAGGAGCCTTGGAAAAATACCCACATTTGGGAAATGGAGATTTAGAGAACCGTTAATAAAAGAGAAGGTCAAGAAAACCAGCGTGGTGTGGGATCATGGAATCCAAGAGAACAGTTTCAAAACAGAGGTGGCATGAGCTCTCTTAGCAGTAAGTTAAGAAGGGAAAGTAAGGCGGGACAGGAGACGAGCACGAGACCACAGTCAGGGACACGCTCTGCTCCGGCCCCACGGAGCGCCTGGGTCTCCCATCTGGATGGAGGAGGCTGTCGTCTCTGCGAAGCCCTCTCAGCACCAGTGTTCGCGATCCGACCTGGACAAGGGAGGGTGCACAGCGAGCAGCGGTGGGAAGGTGAGGGTCGCCAAGAACACTGGCACTGCTGAGAGCTTGAATACATGTCCGTCGGAGGGGAGGGAACTGTTTTCTCAGTACTTCTGAATTTCTGAGTACTGTTGGAGCATGTTTACAAACTGAGAGGAAGACCGGGAGGATTAAAAGGGGTAAGCAAAGAGGGGACGGACGTGGAGCATCTCCTCGAGGGGGCCAGCGTGGGTAAAGACGGGGTGGAGACAGAGCAGTCGGTGCCGACGCGCTCGGCGAGGTCCCGAAGCTCAGGTCCGTCTGTCTGACACTTACCCAATGTACTCGTCCTTGTTGTCCTCAGTCACCAGGATGTTGGACCCTCCCGACTTCAGGTCGTGTGAAGTAACCTTTCCCAAAATCTCCATGTCAACAGAAAAGTACATTTCTAAGCCACATTCTTCAATGTTGTTGTCTCTGGGTGACACAGACATATATCCGCTAATTAACAGGATGTACAAATTGGTTTCAAGAAAATGCCTTATTGAAAGAGGAATCTTCAAACCTTATCCAGATCAGGGAGTTGTAAAATTCAGTATCAATGGACTCCAAGTCCTTAATAGTCAGTTTCTTGTTCAGCATGCGCTTGTAGAACGGTAGAGAGAACCCAGTATCAATAAACTTTCCATGAAAAAGTGCCTGCCAAGAAAACAAACAGTCTTACATAAAAATTTACAAAATAATTTTCTTATTTAAAGCACAAGAAGAGAGAAATCCTGAGGCTTCACAGGCAAAAAAAGCACTTGCTAAGTAATCAGCATAAATCATGAGAACTACAGCATTACATAAAACGCTATTTGAAAACAAACTACAGAGTTTAAACCACATCTCTTTAACCGAGGTCCAAGCCTCAGCTCCACCAGGTCCGTCAGCAGCGGTGAAGGAGGACGATGAAGGAGCTTTCCCACGCCCCCAATTCCGACACGCTTATAAACCCAAGTGCTCGACTGGAGGCAGCATGGGGGCCTCAGCGCCCCGCACAGTCGCCTGGACAGACCCTCCCCTCCTTTTGGACCCGCCCTGCCTGAGAGATTTCCAGGGCAGGGGGCTCCCGACCTCCTCAGCACCCTGACCCTCGGCACCAGCCGCCTGCATCTGGAAATCCGGGCCACTGCTCACACGTCCCCAGACCCCCCCAAGCCACCTCCTCTCTGCCCTCTGGAGCTCAGGGCCATCCCGCATGTCTCCCCTCTTTCTCTGCAGAGCCTGTAGCATCCTGCTCTGACACAAAGCCAGCATTTTTCTGAGGACTTCGCTCCCACCCCCTCCAGTCCTCTCAGGGGTGGCGGTTTCTCTCCACCTGCTCACGAACCAGGCCTGGAGGGGCAGGTGCTGCTCCCCATGCCCGGACTCCCCCTCCCTGGACCTGCCCGGCCACCACCCTGCACCAGCGAGTCCCACCCCGCCGGCCCGGGCAGTCATCCTCAGACCCTGGTTCTCTTCCTTCAGCGTCGTGTCCTCCACACTGCCGGCAACTTCTTGGAGATTTCGGCACCCACATTGGTGATTCTTTTACTACTCGGGCTTTCTAGTCCTTTCAATGATCTCAGTCTTTACTCTTACTTGGCTAAATATTCTCAGCACCACACAGCAGATACAGTTATTAGCAACGATAAATTCGATGTCAACCGCCACCTGTCAGCTCACTGCCTCTATCAGTAAGACCAGTGGTTTCTGAGCCCACTGGGATCTGAAAGAATCCACTGGACCTGCTCCCTCACAACTGTCTCTCAGCCCTCATGAAGTCACCTCTCCCCTTAGTCTAGATCCCGTTGTCAATCATTAAATTACTCCCTGTATATCTTCAAACCCTGTCCCCCACAGGGTGTTTCTGCCAAAATCCAAACCCTGGCTACACACAACTCTCAACCTGCTCTGCGCCTGTGCCTGGGCCGTGGAACGTGCTGGCAAGGGGCAGACAACCAAGCTGGGCGGTTCAGACCATCGACCTCCAGCGGGAGCTCGGTGCTCACACTTCCCCTTACGTCACTCGCCCCTCTCCCGGAGACGGTCTCACTCCTCAAACCTCCTTTCCCACTCTGGCCAATGAGCCTGCCTTCTCCCTCACCGAGGACACAGGCCGTCAGGAGACCCACCGCGTCTGCGCCACACACTCGCACTGCGGATAAGCTGTCCCCTCCACGTGCACTAAACGCTTCTCTTCCTCCCCTCCTGCCCAAGGTTGCTGCTCACGTGTTCCTTGTCTCCGACCTCATCAAATTCCTTCCTCTGACTTGATCATCACTATCCGCATATAAACGTTCCATTTTCCTCCCATTCTCAATTCCATATCAACTCCCAGTTACTGCCCGATTTCTCCATGATCCTTTACAGCAAAGTTCTTTAAAAGACATGTTTCTATCTGCTGTCTACGTTTCTCCTTCCGTTCTCTCGATCCACTCCTACCAACCCTCTCCAGCGCTCCTGAGCATCCTCCACTCGGCCAAACCAAAGGGCTACTTCTGAGCCTCTGACAGCCGACCACTCCTTCCTCCTTCCTGTGTCTTCTGGGCACGATTCTCATTTGCTTCTCCTACCTCCTCCTCCTCAGCTCTTCCGCTGGTTCCTTCTCATCTCCCCGTCTTATAAACGTCCTCACACAACGTCTCTGTCCACGCTGACTCCTTGAATGATGATGTGGCCTGACCCAGACATCCCCTCATGACGAGATGGGCACATCCCACTACCTAGTCTACACCTGCACTCCGATGTCGACAGGCACCTGAAACTTAACAAACCAAGCCACATTCTCAACTCCCTCCACACCCAACATTCGCTCCTGCCACCACCCAGCCGTCTCAGGAAATGGCAGCTGCAGCCAAACACACAGGCCATGACCTTGGGCGCCATCCTTGACCCTCTCTCACACCTTGCCTCTAACCGTCAGAAAGCGGTCAGCTCCAACCATGGTCGGATCCAGAATCCAGAGCACTGCTCACCCCTCCAGCGCCACACCCTCAAGTCGACGCCTCTCCCCTCCCCCGATGGCTGCGTCGGCCTCCAGCCCCGCCCCTGCCCTCGTCTGCCCCCTGTTACATTCTCTTCACAGAGCAGCGGGGGGAGGCTTATAAAATGCACGCCAGACCACCTTACTGGGCCACGCCACTCGTGCTCAAAGCCCCTGAGAGAACTTCCTGAGGGTCTCACACAGTGCCTCCCACCTGCGTCTCCTCACAGTTCTCTCTCACACACTCTGCTCCAGCTGTGCCCGTTTTTCAATCAAAAACGTGCTCCTACCTTAGAGCCTTTTCCTTGCTGTTCCCTATGCCTAGAGTGTTGTTCTCTGAGACATCTGCGTGATTCAGCCCCTTGCCTTCTCCAGGCCTCTGCTCACTGTTACTGGTCAGAGGCCTCTTCCAATCAGATCACCCAGAGGAGCAGCAAGTCCTCTCCCTCAGCACACGCTGACTTATCATTCGTCTCACACTAGCACAATCCAGGTCCATGAGAGCAAGGAAGGCGTCTTTCTCGTGGTCCCATCTCTCCCAGACTAGGATGCCGCAGGAGGCACTCAATCAATACCCGCTGAGTGAACCAGCAGGTAACAAAGTGCAAATAAACAAACACAAACACTTCTCAAAGACAACAGTCCCACAGGAGCTTCTGCGTAGCTCTGAAAATTCCAAATACATCAAGCGAGTGCAAGGACTACGCAACTCAGGCTGCCCTTTTATAGAAAAGTGCTCATGATGTTTAGGCTATATATTGAGGACTAAGTGGCTGTGTGAATAATCCTCAGATTCATAATCTGGATTTCACATAGGTACTCTAAAAATAAGCTACATTTTGATACTCTCTTTGTAGGCAAACATCCTTGGTAACAAAATCCAGGGTAATGCATACCATTATCTTTTGAGTCCTCTCTAAAATACTTTTCAAATAAGCAAACTCTAAATAAATAATGGGAAGTTAGGACTCACCATAGCAATAAAGCGACCAATGAAACAGAAGTACGAAAGATGGTCCGGATTAATGGTTGATGCTGGATTTATCTGTAGACAGTAGTTGTTCTTGCCAGCATACTCAAATAAGCAATACATGGGGTTCAAAACTTCATGTGAAAGCAAGAAAAACCATTCTCTAAAAGAAAATATAAGTCAAGATTATTTTTTAGCCTTTACATACACATGAATTTAAGAACAGATCTTAAATACACCCATACATATATCACACCTCTGCTCCACGGCCTTTAACGCCCCGCTGCCCGATCCCTCAGTCCTCCGTTTACGTCTCCTGTGACCTGACCCTCACTCACAGCTGGCTGCCGGTCCCCACGCGGTGTCTCTCACATATAGCAGGCTTATTTCTACACCACACTTCTGGACGCCTATGTCTCCTCAATTTCATCTCAGCCCATGGAGACCCCACTTTTTCTCTCAAGTCTAGCCTAGATCTACCCACTTCAGCAATCTTCAGCATATGTGAACACTTTGGGGCAACAACCTCACAATGTTATTCACTTTTCTGCACGTGACCTGCCCCATCAACCAGACTGAAAGTTCCTCAAGAGCAAGAGCCATGTCTTCAGATATTTTTTGTATCCTTAACTCTTACAGGCATCTAAGACCCATACACAGCAAGGTTTAAGAAGTGTCTGCTGGTGACACAGAGACACACAGCACCGCTGCTATGGAACAGCTTTAATTTTACTGTCAATGCATTAAAATAATGGAACTAAAATTAAAAAGGTGAAATCTTTAAATGTGATAAGCATTCTCTAACTTATTACCACCTATTTTGGCTCATGTAAAAAAGTCCAGGGGGGCCGGCCCTGTGGCATAGTGGTTAAGCTCAGCACACTCCACTTCAGCACCCTGGGGTTCACAGGTTCAGATCCTGGGTGTGGACCTACTCGACTCATCAGCTGTGCTGTGGTGGCAGCTGACATACAAAACGGAGGAAGACTGCAGAGATGTTAGCTCAGGGCTAATATTCCTCAAGCACAAAAAGAGGAAGATAGGCAACAGATGTTATTTCAAGGTTTATCTTCCTCAGCAAAAAAAAAAAAAAAAAAGTCCAATACATGAAATCTAACTAGATAAAAGATTAATAACTTATATTACAAAATAAACTCAATCTGCAAGATTCTCTTCAACAGCACTTTCTTGCACGGTTCCAAACGCCGATGCCTTCGGTGATCAGTGGGTGACTGGAGCGTGCTTCCCGCCCTACATGGAACTCACATTCCCTGTTCAGCCACAGTCCCCACTCCTCACTGCGTTCCTGGTAACAGCTACTGCCCGTTTTAAGGAAGAATTACTTCTGGGCATTCACTCCTAGTCCTTAGACGCCTGGGCAGTGAGTGCATGGAAGTGGACAAGAATGGACACTGCCCACATGGGAAGCAGCCAACTGCCGCCATGTGAGAGGCCGGAACGTGGGCATGAAATCTTCATTCTTAAGCACAACCTAGTGTTTTCTTTAATGTTGCCAAGTAATTAAATTTTTTTTTTTTTTTTGCTGGGAAAGTTTCGCTCTGAGCTAACATCTGTTGCCAATCTTCCCCTTTTACAAAATTTCCTCCCCAAAGCCCTTGTACATGCTTGTACCTTCCAGTTCTAAGTGAAAAATTTTAAATCGCAACAGAGGGCATCACCCTGCAGCCTAGATCTGGCCTGGCAGCCTGTTTACAGACTCTTTACAAAGATCTTAAACTACAATCTCGGAACCGACCTGAGGGAAGTGCAGGGAGTCCCTGAACAAAATCAGCTAAGAAATGAGAAACATCCATTCATAAGACTAGATCCAGCCCCAGGAGCAGCCGGCCCGTGCGCCCTGCGGTGAGGGCTGAGGGCTGAAGGCAGGCGCACCCCAGGGAGAGGGCGGGACACAGCCAGCGTCCAGCACAAAGCCAGGGAGGGACCCCCAGCTGCCACAGACCCCATCAGCCAGAAGCCAGGAGAAACCAAGCACATCCCAGTGGAGGACTGTGACACAGCTCTAACCTAGACCCTGACACAAGGGAAAAGAAGGAAAACTCTAACTAGCAAGACGCAGAGTCCGCTTTCAACACGTCCTTCTCTATACTCTCAAATAAGGAGATACAAGAGGTGAGAAAATTGTGAAACAACGGATGAGCTAGCAGAGCCTAGAGAAGAAAATGAAGAAAACGGCAAAATCACTAATGAAGAAAAATCACATTAGAAGTAGCAAAATTTAGGGCATTACTGCAAACAGTGACATGAGGATAGGTCAAGAAAAATCAAAACAAAACGGAAAAGCACAAAGATAAAAATGGTCAGAGAAGAGATGACAGACATGTAAGACTGACAAAGGAGATTCCACATACCCATGATTGATGTTCCTGAAGAAAAACGGAACAAATGGAACAGAAAAAATATTCAAAGACATAATAGAAGAAAATTTCCCTTAAATTAAGGAAGATCTTAACATGTTCCTAAAAAAAGATACAAAACAATTAACAATAAAATTAATGAACTCCAACGAAAAGGGTTGTGTGGGCATTCAGAGAAAAAAGCTTCTCTGTGGGCTAGCCCCCCACCTCGCAGCGCTGACACTCAGTGCTGGGGGCCGGGAAGCCACGACTAGAGGGCTGGAGAAACGAGTGCTGTGCGAGAAATGTCAATCCAGGGAGGGGTTGTTTATATACAAAAGCAACAGAAAACACGTTCTCAATCATGCAAAACTACAGGAACATGTCACCCTTGTGAACCCATGAATACACCAAAACCAGTACATGAAACAAAATAAAGAATTTGGAAATAAGAAAATCACGGTACGGAGTAAGTGATTATATGCAAAAAACCATCAAAATATAAAACTAAACCCAAACAGCTGAGGCAAATAAGAGTTCAGACAAGAATGTGGATGTTATAGAGTCAGACACTGTAAAAATAATACCCTATTTCATTCCTAAGATGCACCTTTTTTTTCAATGTTGAACATTTCACATTTCTGAAAGTGAGATAAATCACAACAAATGTGACAAGAACATTTAGTGTGATCGGTAGTGTTTCTTTTCTGAAAAAGCTGCTTAATAACGTTTGGGATGAGAAAATATGCTAATATAACCAAACTCCGATAATCTCACACAGGTGATCCCGCCAGCTGTGCCTAGCCCCACATCTCTTTTTGCCAGTTGTACTAATTTTCTTTGGAAAGATTTAACCAAAATGCTTTGCTAAAAAATAAATTGCTGTCAAATTAGTTATGAGCAAAGCAACTGAGGGAAAAAATCAAAAGCACTTCCCACTCGTATTGCGTCACAAGTGTCTACTGTCAGCAACATATTTAGTGAATGTGGAAAACTTCGTCCTCAAAAGGACTCAGACGGGATTAAAAACACAAAATCAACACACAGTGTTATAACAGCAAAAATAAGAAACCACCTTCTGGGTGTGGACCCATCACTGTGGGGTCTCCACACAGTGGACACACAGTGGAGTTTCTGCACACAGCCATTAAGTGAAGGAGAGCATGAGTTCCAGACACGATCTGGAAAGATGTCCATGATGTATAAACAAGACCAAGTCACTATAGCATGCACGTCTGTACGATCAATTCTGTCTAAAAGACAGCAAATATGTACTGTATCACACACACATACCAATTTATCTGTACGCAGAGAAAATGTATAGGATGACCAAGACAGCGATAATAATGGTTACCTCTAGAATTGTGCAAATATTTTAATTTTTGCTTTTAAAAATAATTCTGGATTGCTCTCGAAAAAGTATATCCTTTCAAGAATACATCCAGTGCACATAATGGAGATACGCTTATTTGAAAGCAGGTAAGTGTTTATTTTACCTTGCTAGACCACCGTAATCAAGTCCTTCTTCTCCTCTAAATATCACATATAATCGTCTCCTCAAGTCATAGGGTTTTAATGCCATAATCTAATTAAAAACAAAAACATAGACATTTAAATACTCAAACAGCACAAGTTTCTTCCAAAACAATTCAATTTAAATTTTATCTGTATTTTCAAAATACACATTTCCTTATCTCACACAACAATGCCTTTAATTCATGAGCTCAATCAATTTGTCCCACAAACTAGTAAAGATGTGTCTTACTCTCCCGGCTTTCTCTGATTCCCTTTCAGATAGTCCCTTTCCCCTCTTCTAGGATCAAATGGTAGCTCTACTTTGGATTAGAGCCAAGAGAGGAAGAGTGTGACACGGAAAGCTTTTAAGGTTAGAAAACATTTCCTTCCTGCATCACTCCCGAACTTTTACCAAAATCACGTAAAAGTTGAGGTGTCAATTTTTCTGACTAGCAACGCTCAACGAGCAGCAGCAGATCTTGCTCTGGGTCCTGCCTGTACCACACATTCCATTTCTCGGCAGGAAAGGACTTCAGCTACAGCAAACAATTCTTCATATGACGTTGACTTTGTACCTAAGGAAGTCTATCTTGAAACGATCCCAACCCCAGGTTTCCGTAACCCTTGATGGCCTACCCTAAGGTTCAGGCTTTACTTTGGAGGAAAGGGACTGACTTCCACCACACGTGTGTTAGGAGCAGACCTGAGAATGCACGTCTGGTCAGGGTACAGCTCAGCGGCAGGCTCCCACTCTAGAGGTGGTCACGGCTCAGTCCTCACCTCAAACAGACCGCGCTGCTCCCCAAGCAAGAGGACAGAGCAAAACGAAGCCCACCACAAATTCAGATGCACACTTACCAATAAAGCTCAAGCAGAGCTTGGAACAAGCTGGGAATTTATCAACTCAAACCAAAAATATTTTAATAGCAATATTAAAAACCTTGCCCAAACTCCAACAGCTAAGTAAGTTAAGCCAGGATGTGGACATCTCTGACTTCAGAGTGCTGTTGCTCCATTTTGGCTTGTGCAGCCCCTGTGCACCTGTGCACACGGGGGACTGTGTTCACCGCTATAAGACTTCAGAGACGGAGAAGACTTAGATGAAAAACACTCCACCTCATCAGAAAGAAAGAACTGATAATATTTTGGTTTTTTACATTTAAATATTCTGCAGATGACATACTACATGCATTTATTCAATCACCAAATATTTACTGCATACCTGCTACGTGCAGGGCACTGCTCCAGGTGTGGGCACAACAGCAGTAAACAAAACAGTCTGTGCTCTTACGGAGCTTACATTCCAGCACAGGAAACAAACACAGTATGTCAGGTGGCGCTGATGTTACAGAAAGAATCAAGTCCGTCAACGGCTAGAACAGGACTGTGAGGGAGATGAGCCAACTGCAACGATCTTAAACCGCATGCTCAGACGAGCTCTCTCTGAGACCGGGACATTTAAACAGGAGCCCACAGGTGGTGAGGCCTAAGATGAGGGTTATTTAAAGGAATACCTGAATGTAACGCAGTGTCTACACCAATTTAATTTTCATTTGGTATTTATTACCCAGAATTTCTGTTTGAGTTAATAAAGTCTTACAAAAGTAACTAAGTGTCAAAATGTGTCAGCTTATTCCAGAAGCTGTTGAAGCTTTATTTTAGTAATCTAATACGTGGCAGAATAATTTCATCTCCCAGCCTCAGTACCTTTGCCTGTAAAATGGAAGTAACGATAGGAGCCATCTCAAAGGGATGTTGTGAAGATTAATTAAATGAAATGATAACTATAAGATGCCAGTGCCAAGAACACAACAAGGACTCAATACATGATGGGGTTCACTGTGACCAGCATCATGATGGACACTCGAGGAGTGACATGCAGTCACTGTGACGGCCGTGATCTGAATGCTTTAAAATTCCCAAACCCCAACTCCCTTTAGACACATAGCACACGATGAGACGAACAGTCCTGTTGTATTCTGATAAGTTTCCTCACCTGTTGGAAGGAATCTTCGAACAACGTCTGCCGGGACACGTTGATCTTCACATGACTGGGTAGTGCATTAGACTAAAAGCAAAAATAATATCGTAATATCATGTAAACTATAGTACGTGTATTGTGTAAAGACAAGACTAAATGATTATAAACAGAAGATTTATTTACCACTGTAGTACCTGGCACAAATAACGGAAGTGAGCAAGCTTCCACCTAAAGCTGCGTTCATAAGCAATTTGTGGACCACCTTTAGTTCTAAGGAAAAAAAAAAACCATATATTAATTCACAATAAACCTGGACATTTAATATTCATTATGAAACTGGAGTGTACTAGAGTCCTACAAATGACCACAGGAAAGTTACTTTCCAGGAGAGAGGTAAAGATATATTTAGTGGGCTAATTGAGGCTTGAGCAATGAGGATACACAACACACTCAAGGAGGGAGAGTGTTGGGGCCGGCCCAGCAGTGCAGTGATTAAGTTCAGCGTACTCCGCTTCAGCGGCCTGGGGGTCGCAGGTTTGGATCCTGGGCATGGACCTAGACCCCTCATCAAAGACATGCTGTGGTGGCAACCCATGTAAAAAAATAGAGACAGACTGGCACAGATGTTAGCTCAGGGCCAATCTTCCTCAAGCAAAACGAGGAGGATCAGCAACAGCTATTAGCTCAGGGCCAATCTTCCTCAGCAACAATAAAAACAGAGGGAGAGTGTATGTGTGGATGGATCTTTGGTAAAGAAGTTAGTTAAAGAAAATATTAAAGTCAACCACTGACTATCTCAAAGAAAACCTTTGATAATCCTTAAACCTAAAGAGGACAGAGGCTCTAGATAGATGAGACATGAAAGGAAATTCTACCACATCTTAAACCTAATCTGACACTGAAACAAATGTTGCTGGACACAGCAAGGAAAGCAGTCGAATTCTCGGGAACAGGTGACATCCAGGTGGCACGGCTCAGCTGGTCGGAGAGGAAAAGGCAGGATGGGGCCACAGGGACAGGCTGACCGACACGGAGAGCACCTGGGTCTTCTGCCCAGCAAGTAAAAGCCCAAGAGACAGGCGCAAGAAATGTTCACAACCTTAGGGAACATTCTGGAATGGATGGAAAACCTTCTCTTGTGCTGTGGTGTTCAGGCGACTTCATTCAACAGACATCTACAATATCTCTGTAGTACGGACATGGGGCTCTTCTGCACAATGAGAGCACTATTTGGTAACAAAACATAACAATACCTGTTTTTGTGGACTTCACACTAGTGAAGGAGACAGACAAGAAACAGAATGAGTAAGTAAATGACATGTGTAGTGTGTAAGAAGGGAGTAAATGTCTTACACTTCCGCTCCTCAGACGAAAACAAGGCAGCATAAACAGGGTAGGGAGTAGCCTGGGGGAAGAATTCTTCAATTCTGGGAAGAGTGAACAGAGAAGGGCTCGCAGACAAAGTAAAATCTGAGCAGAAACACGGAGGGCATAAGCCATCTAGAAATTTGGGAAACGAGCACACCAGGCAGCGGGAGTAAAGGCCAAGACCCAGAGCTGGGCGGCTCAGGCGTGCGAGGCCCAGCAGGGCGGCCAGCGAGGCTGGAGCGGAGAAAGAGGAGAGAAAACAGAGACGAGGCTGAAGGGAGAACAGGGTCAGGCTCTGTGAGGCCCTGGAGGCCGCTCGAAGGAAGCAAATCATGGAAGGGCTTTGTGCAAAGGAATGACTTTTTACTTAAATTTTTTTTTAATGAGTCTCGCTGCTTTATGGGGAATAACAGTGTATGAGGTGTGGGAAAAAGCAGGGACAAGGGTACCACCCAGGGGAGAGACAACGGCAGTTGGGACAAAGGCAGCAGAGTGCAGGTGGCGACAGCTGGATTCCGGACACACACTGAAGGTGGGGAATGCCTGATGGGCTGTGAGGTAAGTGCAAGGTAAGAGAGGGAGGAAGCAAGGAGCACGCCAAGATTTGTGGGCCCAGCACAGCTAAGAGCGGAGCTGCCATCAACTGAGGCAGAACAAGTTTTATAAGAGTTATGAGGAAGCAGTTATGAGCAGAGATTTCAAGTAAGCAGCTCAAATACAAAGTGAAATTGCAAGTGAAAAGTGCGAGCCAGAGATAAAAATTTGTGAGTCATCAGCATATAGATGTTTTTTAAAATAATGACACTGGATAAGATTCACCAAGAGAGGGGCCTGCGCTGGGGCCGAGTAGTTAAGTTTGCTCACTCCGCTTCAGCGGCCCAGGGTTTCACAGGTTCGGATCCTGGGTGCGGGCACAGCACCACTCATCAAGCCATGCTGAGGTGGCATCCCACATGCCACAACTAGAAGGACCAACAACTAAAATATACAACTATGTACTGGAGGGGCTTTGGGGAAAAGAAGAAGAAGAAAAAAAAAGATTGGCAACAGATGTCAGCTCAGGCGCCAATCTTAAAAAAGAAAGATTCACCAAGAGAATGAGTGTAGAGAGAAAAGAAAAGAGAACTAAGGACAGAGCTCTGGGAACGTCAACAGAGGCTGCAGAGAAAAGGAGGACCCAGCCAAAACGGAGGAAGAAATAAGACCAGAAGAGCAGAGGAAATCAAGAAAGTTTAGTCCCTGCCCTGCTTTTACAAGGAAAGAGAAATGTTTTATGTCAAACACTCCTGATAAGTCAAATGGGACAGGACTGCAATCCAGCCCCAGGACTATCAGTGTGGGGGGCACTGGTGACCTTAACAAGTTCAGGGCCCACCGAACTTGCTGTAGGAGGTTTGAGAGAGAAATTAGAAACAGCAACACAGGGACAACTCTTCCAGGTAGGGGAGCAATAAAAGTGAATTTACACTGTGGATTTGTAAGGTGAAGAGTTATGCTTGTTTTTTGTTTTTTTAACCTAGGAGAAATAACAGCTGATGAGAATAATTCAGTAGAGAAAGAAAAAACTGAGGATGGAGGCTAGAAAGACGATAAATTGCCAGAGCAACTAAGTGGGACAGAGGGGAAAAGATCCAGTGCGCCCGCAGAGGGGGCGGCCCTTGAGAGGGACGATGACAGCTCCCCTGTAGGATCCAGAGGGAAGGGAGATGCTGATAGGCAGGCAGGTGTGACACTAGGAATTTGCAAAAGACCTTTTATGATTGCTTCTATTTTCTCAGTGATGCAAAGACATCCTACCTAACAGTGAGGATGAAGGAGAGATCTGTCCAATGCTTAATTAAGCTATCTTTATCTGAGAAATTCCGCTTTGTCGAACATCTCGCAGCCTGACACTGCAGCAGTATGACGTGTCGGTTAAGAGCACAGACTGCGGACAGATGGCCTCGGTCTGAAACTAGCTCCATTAGTCGCTATATGATTTTGCACAAGTCAGTTATGCTCCGTAAGCCTCAGTTTCTGCACTTGGAAAAAGGAAAATAATAGCATCTACCTCAAGGGGTTGTTGGAAGACAAAATGAGCTAACATATATAAAGTGCTGAGAACCGTCCGTGGCACACAGTCATCACCATACAAATATCTGCTGTCGTTCTTAAGGAATTATGTGCCACGTGTCCATTCTGTGATAAGACAGGTGTACTGGGGTCTTGCTTGTGCAGGTTTTCTTGATCCAAAAATAAAATCTGAGGCTAAACCAGAGCTATCATGTCCTCATTAAACAGCATTTAAGAACATCAGGCTTTCACTTACACGGATGACTTCCCATTGCGAGGATCCTTGAATGTCGTTGTCCTCGTGTTATGATCAACAAAGTACCTAACGCCTTCCCGAGTATACCGAATTTCCCAGCCTTCTGGCAGGGGTTCTTCGTTCTGTAAGCTAAAGTTACAATCACAAGGTGAACATTTTCCAGGAGGTGAAAACACCTGCATCAAGGTTACTTGATCCTATCTACGGACACGTGTAAGACAATTGGAGCAAACCTGTAATGTATACGCACCCCTGAGTTCTTGGATCTTCCCACTGGGTTGTTTTTGTGTTATGATTCACGAAGTAGACTCTGTCTGTTGAATCTACTCTTTTTTCTAAAAAACAGAGTGAGCATAGCATTTAATAACTATTTGCTATATATCCCTTTCAGATATTTTTACCAAGAACATATCAGCTTACCCCAGCCTGGTGGCAAAGGCCCGTATGGGTCATTTTCTGCAGCTAACATTGAAGCCTGACGGAGAAAGGGTTGGGAGGAGGAATAAAATAACAGTACTTTAATATAAAAGCAGAGATAAACTAAGCACTTGGCAGAATCACATTTCACAGCAATTTTCTACAAAAATATGATAAAGGAACGCAAATACAGTAATTTCAAAACATTAAGTCCTAAAAATGTCATTATCAATTGATTAAAAGTATTAGTTCCTCTAAACTAATTTAGAAATAATACACTGACATCAATATTTTAATCTCTTAGCCTTTCCATAATAATTGATGGAAGCGAGACGGAATGAGAGAGAAAAGCACAGATAAAGTTGTCGTATTCAAACGAGGCAATATTACTTATGTAAAAATAGAACAATTATCAGTTCTTTTTAAAACAAATGCCTATTAATAAAACAAATATTAAACTCTAGTATCACCTCTGTACAAATAATTTTATCTTAATATTAGAATCTTTTATAAATTCATACATAAAAACACATTTATGTTTATACATTATTACAACTCAGAAATAAATTCCAAAGAAAATGTAGACATTCTACCATTAATTTCAAAAGAATGACAAACATACAAACGATTACCTGAAAATCATTCTTTAATGACAAAGTATACGCATCTTGATGAATATTTTATAACTTTGTACCAGACACTGTTAATTGTACTCCCCAACCATTTCCCGCTCCTTCCTTGACAACCAGGCCACCGTTTTGTTTGAGGCGGCAACGTGTCCATCTAAGAATATTGCATGCCCAGCCTCCCTTGCAGCTGAGCAGGTGGAAGGACCACTCTGGCCAGTGAGGTGCAGGCAGAAGCCCCTGGTGAGCACATCCCTTTCCAAGCAAAAAGGTGAGGGCCTGCTGGAAAACAGCCCTCCCCTCTTCCAACTCCTCCTTCCCTTTCTTCTTGCCTAGACTGCAGAATGAGGCCCAGAGGGCAGCAGCCCCATACGATCAAGGGAAGAAGCGTGAAGCTCAATAAGGACAGAGGGGCAAAAGGGCAGAAAGAACCTGGGAACTCACTGGCATGACCAAGTCAACGATTAGCCCTGGACTCTTACCCCAGACGGGGTGGTGCATTGAGGTAACAACACCTCAGGCGGCTGGAGGAGGTCCTGTTATGTGCAGGGGAGCACACATTATCCAACTCTGCCGTTTCCCCAAGGTGTAACGTCTACAGCTGAGTTCAACTCCAAACAAACGCACACAGTACCCAGTCTCCTGTTTCCTACATACAACTAAACAGTGGACCCCTACCCCAGATTTCTGCCCAGGTCACCAGAGCGCCAGCCACTGGTGGCAGCAGGAGACGCTAGGCCAGCTGGGTTGGCCCACTCCCCGTGCACTGGCCACAGACACCAGGGGAATGGGTCAAGCTGCACATGAGCACTTACTTCACCCCTGAAGCAAAGGAGTGGAAAGAGCAGCCTGGGACGGGGCTCTGAAGAAAGAGCTACTGAAGTGTGTGTGCGTCTTTCCTAACTCCTTTCCGTCTGCTGGCCTCTACATTTAGGTTTTCAAATGGCATCAAAACACTGTCTAGAAATGCCCAGTACTTACACTTATATTTTCTACTTCCTGTGATCAAACCCATTTAACAAAGGGCTTTTTAAAAAAAATTTTCCCCCACTCTTCTTATGGGTGACTATTTATTGCAATAAATAAATCACCAATTGGTCGAGTTTCAAGACAGCACTTGATTTTTTGGACAAAACTATCTCCAACCCCAGGAACATCTACGGTGGGCCCACACAGACCAAAGTGTTGTTTCTGAGAGTGTGGGATGGAAATCAGAATAGCTAGATGATGGCAAGACTGGCCTTGAGTAAAAATAGGGGTAACTGGTTTAGTTCAAGAACCAAAATGATTATAATAACAGGTGGGGGACTGCGAATGGTGAAGACAGATTATTTTATTAAGAAACTGCATTTGTAAAACTACCACCTAATAAGGACAAAAAACTGTGTGTATAGTTACGTTAGGAAACTAGAATTTTTTAAAAAACGTAAAGTGCTTACGTATATCAGAAATGCTAATTATTCATTAAAGATCAACTAAAAAATACCCTGTAAGGCAATCTATAACTTTTTTTAAAAATCACCCCAGCAGAAAGGGGGCTGCCCGGAGGAGAGGCCTGCGGGAGCGCCTGGCGGCCCCTCACCGAGTAGAGGTAGCGCTGGTTGAACTGCTGCATGGCGCCCTGCAGCTGGCTGCGCTGGGACTGCCACTGCTCGAAATTCCGCACCGACTCCATGGTGGGCCGCTGCCACGTCGTCGTTCTGGTGTTGTGGTCCACATAATACACTCTGCCACGATCATCAACTCTTCTCTCCCAACTACCACAAACAACATAAGCAGTGATAAAAGTTAAAATAAAAAACAACCTTAGTACAAGAAACTGAAAAGTATTGTTAATACTTCACTCAAATAATTTTTAAAAGAATGTAAATATGGATATTCTTGAGAAAAATTATGAACGTGTGATCTGCTATTTATTGTAACTAAATTACCTTCCCATTCTACAATGACCTGATTTCCAAGGCCTGTCTTTTTAAAAAGAGGCCACAGACTGGACAGCCCAGCGTCAGCCTCACTAGCCTTTCTCTCTCTTCGTTTTGACCAGCATTTAATCAGATGGGGCAGTGTGCCCCTAGAGCCACGGCCCCCACGCGGGAGTGTAAGTCAACCCAGAGCTTTTTAAGCTGCCTTCCTGCTGTTCACTGCTGCCCAACTGAAACACGGACCAAAACACATCATCCAACCTATCACTGCTCTCTGGCACGACACAGAAATGAACCCATTCTCCATATCAGTCTCAACTGCCCTGAGATCTTTCAAGGCACCCGTGTGAGAGCCAAATCAACCACGTGCTGGTCCCAAATGTGTTCTGTTTCATTCCGTCAGGCCTGTTTTAAGATTCCCTCAGAAAACAGCGCCCTTCCCTACTTCTCCACCAGAATTCTCCCCATCCTCCAGGGTGCAGTCCTTTAAGCCAATTTGTGTCATTAATTTATACAATGATTTCAGAATTCTTCAACCAACCTCACAAAAATAACATTCCTTGCCTTGAATTTTCTGGATTGAAAACGTTTTACTTTGGTGGACTTTAAGCTGCATCGGGAAGGGGAGCTATTCTAAGTGGCAAAGACAAGAAGGAGAGTATCCCAGGTACAGGCAGCGTGTTCGCGGAGGATATAAACAGTATCATCCAACCAGCCCTCAGTGCAGTATGTATAAAGAGTTATGAAAGATGAGAACACAAAGGAAAAGGAAGATCAGTTTGTGAACGGCCTGGAATGTAGCCTAAGAGCACGAACTTGATTTAATTATAGCAATGTTTTTATTCATTTAAAACCCTCTACAATTTTAGCCATAACGTAATACAACTCTACTTGTAGCAATCTTTTAGATCGTAATTTTGGACCACTCTCGTATCTCTTATGTCATTAAATCTCATGAAATAACATAGTTTAGAGATCACTATCTACGGAGAAACATATGTATAAATTGTCCTAAATATGCTTTCATTCCTTAAAAAATAACAAGGATTGAAATAGGACCAAAACTCCGTGATTACTCTCAGTAACTCATGCAACGTTTGACAATCTCTTGAGAAAGCCCTTCAGACTAACTGCAAAAGAAACACAACACAGCAAATCTCATTCACTGAACATACGTTACTCACAAAAGCAAACCAAGGACGCATAATATGCAAAATTAAAGAGTCATTTTATGTTGTAGTAAATAAATTTTAAAAATTACATATATGATAAAATACAACTGAAGACACGTAAAGATGCTACGTTACCCTGGAGGTAAAGGCTGTGGCCTCTCCCACGTGGTCGTCCGAGTGTTATGATCCACGTAATAGGTTCTACCATGAGGATCTTTCCTCTGTTCCCACCTTTAATAAAATGCAAACATAAGAGACGATAAACTACGATGACCTAAAAAATGATTCTGTCTTATAATCAGGAAAATTACAGACAAGTTTTACCTTAAAAGGCTAGATATATATTATAAAGTTGTTTCTTTTCTCAATTATTAATGCTTTTTGTTTCTAATTATTCCCTTTTCCTTAACCATATTGTAAACTCAGTAAGTACAGTTAGCAGAGGAGGAAAGACTAATATCTAAAGGTTTTAAAAGTTACTAATTTACAGAATTCCAAATCATCAGCAAACAGAAACTGAATCAAGGGGAGAGGAACTTCCAGCCTGGTATCACACCCAAGGCACGAACTGTCAATGAAGGAATATTCACGTTTGCCTGCAATTTCAAAAACACACATCTGAAAAGTTTTAGCGGTATCACCTTCAAGAAGTATGTGGTGGCGCTCTTCATGAAAATCCTTCCTCTATATGCATTTAGCGTCTTCTTTCTGTGCATCTCTATCCCTCTCCTGTTTGGGTAAGCTTCAGAGTTTATGGACATGCCAGTTTTATCTTTTTCTGTTCTATCTTGAAGACTATCAATTTCTTATTTCCCCACTCTCATTTTCTCCTCTGTGGTCCCTGTTTCTTCCTCTCCAGTCTTTCCTTAACTTGGTACAGAAGAAAAATTTTAAACATAAAAAGTGAAAACCTGGTATTTCTGAGTTTAACATTCCTGTTTTCAATTTGAAAGTAAAATAAATGGGAAATATTTTCCTTTCCCTTAAACACAGGGACTCAATTTAATTTGATTTCTCTTTAGAGAAGACTTTAATTATTAATTAACTTTCCTATACAATGAGCATACATACTAAAGCTATTTGCTATACCAGGAGTACACAACCATACTTAAAATGGCAAGCAGAAAAAAATACCAATTGTTGTTGAGGCCACATGTAACAAACCTAAGTCACACAATGCTGAAGTAGTAATCACGAACAACACAGACGCCCAGGTTCACAACTGACTCAGCATCACGTAAGTTATTAAACTTATCTACTCCAAAGTGTCTGTGCTATAAAAGCCTGTACTGGAACACTCACGCTATCCTGTACTACAAAACTTACATACTCATTCCTACCATCAGCCCTTGAATTTTTATTGCTATTCTATAGCAACATTTCCATCTTTTACTATTTTTAATTTAGCTTTAATTTTTATCAAAATTATATATACTTTCACATTGCTTAACATCTACCTTGAGTTCTATAATTACACACATCTCACAGCTGAAAGTCATACAGTCCAAAAGGCTCATTACAAAAACACTGCCTACTTCTTAACCTAATTTTCCACTCACCAAAGGCAACACTTTCAACTGCTGTAGCCAATTCTTTTACTTACTAACAAGCTCACTTCAGTACTTGTTATCCAATCTCAAACAAGCTGTACTGCCTTCTCGCTGTGAAGATGAAGCTGAGTTCCTTTCCTGTGCGCGCGCACGCACGCACGCGCACACACACACACTCTCCGTAACACTTACCCTCCCTCCACACACACACATGCTGCATCCTCCCTTATGGTTCTTATTATGACTACATAAACCCTCCTAACGGCTGAGCCATGGAACACAACACACTTCTGTTTTTAATTGTCTCCTTTCTTCCCGTCTTCTATGTACTTACCATTAACTCCAGATACTTTTCAAGTTGCATAAATCTCTCAAAATGCTTAAGCTTATTAGGTATTTTATCAACCACACCTGCCTTCTGACTTGCTCAGTCTACACTGGCTGGCTGCGGGCCTACCACCTGGGGCTCTCCCTTCACGATGGTGCTGGCAACGCCACTCACTCCTCTTCCTTCAGACCCCTAATTCCCGGACCCCAGGTCTTCACTTTCACGACTTAGTTGTGGAGGAACGAGTCCTGGTAGCTTCCTAAGAAACACTACATGGGAAGTAAGCTCTCAGACCCCGAGGATGTCTGAAGACGGATTCATTCTGCACACACACTCAACAGCATGGCTGGAGGCAGAATTCTAGGTTGTATTCATTTCCCTCAGCATTCAAGGCACTGCTCACTCTCTTCTAGCCTCTTGTGTTGATTCTGAGAAGTCTAATGCTATTCTGATGAGAATGAGATCTGTTTTCCCTTTTTTTAATCTCTGGAAACGTTTAGGATTTTTTTCTTGGGTTCCAATGTACTAAAATTCTCACAATGAGGTGTCTTAATATAGATTTATTTTCACTTATTATCCTGAGTTTTGGTGAGCCCTTTCAATAAGAAAATTCATGTCCTTCATATTTGTGGGAAAACAAATTTTTTTCCTTGGTTATTTTGTTAAGGATTTCCTCCCATTTTCTCTTTCTGGAACTTTTCTTATCAGATCTTCTGAACTGGTCCTCTAATTTTCTACTTCTCTCATTTTATAAATTTATCTTTTGGTTCTACTTCCAGAGAAATTTCTTTATCAGCCAAGTCTTCCACTGCAGTAGACTTCCAAGAGCATTTGGTTCTTTGAGGATTCTGTATTCACAATTCCTCCTTCTTGGTTCACGTGTCATAGCCACGTGTATCCCTCTGAGAATACTAAAACAGTCTATTTCCTTCAAGCTGCGCTGTCTAGGCTGTTTGCTTTGGTCTCCGTCTTGCACAGTGAGAGGCGTCCCTCAGAGGTCTAATGAGGAGGAGACGACAACGCTGCCTGGGTGGGGCCTGCGGATTGTGGGATCAACTGAAGGGGGCCGTAGAAATAGACATCAGTACTGTGAGTCTCTTCTGGGGGTCTTTGGGAGAAGACACTTCCAATCTCCTGGGTGAAAAGGTCACGTCCTGTGATTTGGGCAGGAAAGAAGGACGTGGGTTTGAAAATTCACTTGTTAATCTCATAATGGTTCACCTGCGTCCCCGGTTTCATACAGTGCCCCACCCTCTAACATGCCTGGCCAGCGGTGCCGAGTGCAGACGGCTCCGGGAAGAAGCCCCCGGGCGGGGTGGCAGTCCTGGCCGCTTGGAGGAGAATTAGGGACTCATCTCTCAAGGTGAGTTTCAGGCGTCTTGCTGTTTACAGTGCCATCTTCACCGCCACTTCCAAGGGTAGCTGATGCTGCCCGTTCCCGAGCCACTCGGAAGCGCCAATGCGCAGGCCGGGCTTTTCCCACCGACAGGCCAGAACTCAGCTCTCTTGGGTTTGCCAAGTCAGCTCCACTTAGTCACCCTCCAGACAGCTGTGACCTCATGAGAGACCTCGCACGGAAGCACGCAGCTCAGCCACTACCCGATGCTCAGGAACTGGGTAAGAGTACACGTTTGCTGTTTTCACCTGCTAAAGTTTGGGGTAATTTGTTACACAGAAACAATTAACACGCAGGGAAATGCTACGAAATCACTCCAAGGAACTGAGGTGGACCCACATATTCAGAGGCGGGGCCTCGGTCCGCAGAGCTCACGTGAGCACTAGGAGCACAAGCACAGAGCCTGCAGAGAAGAGGCGCTTGATGAACACTTACTGATTAAGTATTCAGTGAATGTGTGAATCTGCTCATACTGATGCAGAAATACGACCAGGTTTTAAAAAGCAACTGAAAAACAGTAGGTAGAGTGCAATCCCATTTTCTTACAATAATTCTACAAGTGTATGCAAAATAGTAACTGATGTAGCCGCTCTGTGCCCTCTTCACCTCGTCCTTCTCAGAGAGCCTGTCCCTGCCTGACATCATGACAAGGCCACATGCTCACCCTGCCGAGACCCACGCCCCACAGCAGCAGAGTCCTGGCACCCGGCCCCCAAGCGCCTGGAAGGAAGCCTGACCAGAGGAGCTCCCTGGTGGGGAGCTGGGGCACTGGAACAAATATTTCTGAACGATTTAAATATTTTATTTGGTCATGTCTTAGTTTTGTGATCAGAAGCAAATTTTAAGCTTAGGGGAAAAAAAATAAACATAACCAAGTGCTCCATCCATTTAATGGGCCATGAAGCCCTTTTCTAATTTCACCCTAAGTTAACTGCAAATATCTCTAGTTGAAATGCAACAATATTCAGTAAGCACGAAGCATAATGCTAGCCACTGGGCCTTAATTTTTCCAGAACAGGGGATCACTTCCAGATTTTAGTGTTCTTGCTCTAAACAGATTTATCTTTCTCAAACTAAACTGCCTGCTACACAGAACATTATTGAGAACTACTTTTGGATATCTTTTTTATAATTTTATACATTCTATGCACTAGACCAAGGATAAACTAACTTCTACTGGAAAGTGCCAGATAGTAAATATTTTAGGACTTTTGGGCCAAGAGGCAAAGTCGAGATTATCATATAGGTACTTACATAAGGGGAGAGAGAATTCCTGTCACTCCCCACCAGTTTTCCTGGGGGTGGGGGGTGCCCAGCTGTCCTCTGCTGACAACATTCTCGGGACACAGAACCCCTGGTGCACAGGGGAGGAGCCTGGTCAATTTCACGATCCATCCCGGGACTCCAGGATCCCAGGCCTTTCCCTCCTCCCCTGGGAGCTGGTCCCAGAGGAGGGAACTTGCGGATGTGTTACTCTCAGAGTGAGATTTTCCCTCCTGGGGCCTGCAGCTGCCAAGAGTGAGTCCTCACTGTGTAGGCAGTGGTCAGAGCGGGCCGCAGGCAGCAATGAGGGAGGAAGGTGCTGGCGAGAGGAGTCGGGGAGGTGGTACGGAGGGCAAAGGGGGACAGCGCGGGCGACTCAGTTTGATAGCCCACTAGAGCCGTACCTACGGGTCCTATCAAAGCAGCGGGTTGGAAATGGCCAGAGACTAGATGATCCCAGTAGTGGAAACGCATGAATACCCTGAAATAGGCACTAATTACCTGGCTGCCTATGAAACTTCTTGGCAGAATCCTTGAATTTCATAGAGAAGGTAACTGCCACATTTCACCTTCAACCATAACACTCTCCTTTCTTGTATTCAGACAGTCTGCCTGTCTCACTAAGGCTATACATAAATTTTTTAAAAATCTACTACTGAACAAAGACCTTATTTAAAACAAAAGGAAATGTGGAAGAATTTTGTGAAACACATTACAATACAAAGAACAGAACAGTTACTGACCGGATAATGACTGTTTCAAACTCAGACCATGGGGTGGGCAGCAGACTGGCCTTCTCGTAACCCCATCCAGCAGTTCCCTCCCCCTGCACGGCTCGCCCTGCCTCCATGGACTCCCAGCCCCAGGGAGCCTCTCCCATCTCCCAAGACAGAGAGTGGCCTCGCTCCTCTGTCTTTTCTGGCCACTTCTACCCAACACTCGGCTTTCCCTGCGTGCTCACAGGGAACAAGTTCTACTCATTAGTTCTCACTCTTCAAAAGAGTTTTTATCACACTTCCACCCCTCCATTCACTCCATCTCGTAGCAACCACTTTGTCAAAGGCCAACAGCAAATCCTCTCTTTGTTGTTAGCTTCAATGGGTGCCTTTCAGTTCTTATCTTACTTGAATTTTTCAGAAGCTTTTGACCTTGTTAACTGTTTCTTCCAGAGGCATTTTCAAGCCAGGTCCTTTGCCCAATTGCTCACTCATTCAGCTATTTAATCAAGCACTAATTCACTTATTTAAAAAGTATTTATTGAGTACCTGCTACATGGCAGGCACAGTTTTAGGCACGAGGAATACAGAAATGGACAAAATAAAGTCCTTCTTTAGGGGAGAGAAAACCGACAATAACACATAAACAGATATATGTCATATGGTGATTTAAGTGTTAGAAAGAAAAATAAGACATTATTTAGTATAAACTATAAAAAAACTCTACTCTAAAGAGTTGATGCTAAGGCCAGCCCAGTGTTCCTGGGTTTGGGTCCCAAGTGCAGATGCACACACCATTCAGCAAGCCATGCTGTGGCAGCATCCCCCAGACAAAATAGAGGAACACAGGCAGGGATGTTAGCTCAGCAACAATCTTCCTCAAGCAAAAAGAGGAAGATTAGAAACAGATGGTAGCTCAGGGCCAATCTTCCTTACCAAAAAAAAGAGTTGATACTGATTCCATTTATATTAAGTACTAGCAGAGGGAAAACTAATCTATAGTGGAAAAGTATTGGAACAGTGATTGCGTCTCTAAAAGTAAGGACAGGGACTGACTGAAAAAAGGGGCTGGAGAGAAGTTTTTAGGGCGATGGTAAGGTTCTGTAACTTGACAAGGGTTTGAGTTATCCGGATGTATCCATTCATCAAAACTCGTCAAATGGTGATCATTTCACACTATATACAAATAGCAAATCATGTTGCTATACACCTGAAACTAATGCAATGCCAATTATATCTCAATTAAAAAAAGTCATGAAAATGGTACACTTAAGACTTGAGCATTTCTTTCTATGTAAACTTCACCTAAAAACCTTTAAACAAATACTAAGCTGTAATGATATACAAGCTGAAGTGTTAAGAGGCAAAAGTGTACTGAAATCTGCAACTTACTGAACTGCATTTAAAAATGAGATGGATAGAGAGACGAAGAGACACGCAACAAAGCAGGTAGAGAACATGTCAATTGTAGAATCCAGTGGTAGGTATACAGATGGGCACTTTCTACCCGTCTGTACATTTTCATAGTAAAAGGTTGGGAAAAAGTAAGGCAAGGTTAAGGGATGGGGGCAGAGGGGCCTGACTTGGACAGAGGAATCGGAAAAGGCCTCTGGAATGAGGTAACTTTGTTGGCGCCACTCACGTAAACAGTAATCTTTACTACACACGTTAAAGATTTTGCTCTTACTATCTCTAACTGAACCAGGGTATAGGGTGTTTCTCCGGTCTCTGGTGCCTATCCAGTAAAACAAAATACTACCAGGAACTGGGGCCAGACGTCTGTCCCACCCGGAGACCAGCCCCTCTGTAACCGCCTGTGGTCTGTGTTCCGTAAGGTGACTCTAGTGCCCCGTCTCCCCCGTGCCAGCAAGCTGTCATCAAACCCTTTCTCTCCTGCCACCTTGCCTCTCAACTGCTGGCTTGCCTTGTGGCGAGCAGAAGACCCCTTTTGGCAGTAAGAACATTCGAGCAGAGACCTGAGTGTGAGTCATGCAGCCCTCTGAGGACTGACATTCCCTACAGAGGCCTCTGGGGGAGAGCACATTTTTTTTTTTTTTAAAGATTTTATTTTTTTCCTTTTTCTCCCCAAAGCCCCCTAGTACATAGTTGTATATTCTTCGTTGTGGGTCCTTCTAGCTGTGGCATGTGGGACTCTGCCTCAGCGTGGTTTGATGAACAGTGCCATGTCCGAGCCCAGGATTCGAACCAACAAAACACTGGGCCACCTGCAGCGGAGCACGAGAACTTAACCACTCAGCCACGGGGCCAGCCCCGGGGAGAGCACATTTGACGTGACACACAGACGGCATCCCCAGGCTGGAACACACTTCCTCCAGAACAGTCTAACACCCGCGATTCTACTGGGCAGTTAGCTAACAAACTGAGCAAATTACCAAAGCAGGTAAACACAGGAACTAAGACAGAGTTCTGAGGGAAGAGGATGTAGATTGGAAAGCTGCTGCCTCAGTCACTAAAGTCGAGTCCTGCCTGGGCCAGAAGAACCAGCCTGGTCCACCTTCCTCTTCTCGCTCCTGCACACGGCACATCCCCACGGCCACCTGCACAGGGCCCTGGGAGACCAGCACCATCCTTGGGGCAGCTACGCAGATTCTCACCTGGGTTAGTAGCTTCCAAACTTTCTGACCACAGCTCACAGGGTAAGAAGTACATTCTACATAAACAGCTCTGTGTGCACTAGACTGCTATGTATTTACAGACTTTATACTTACACACACACACTCCCCAGAAGAACAACCTTTCTGGAAACAATGCTTACTCGTACCACATCTAACACACCTCAGTATTTTCTGTTCTAATCTGTACTGATCTATTTCATTATGTGTTCAAATGCTGGTCCTAATTTATTAATGGGATGCAACCTGCAATCTGAAAATCACTCATCTAGATTACGACAAAATTCTCCAAATGCAAAAATCACATATGGTGGCGACAGGCATGCTGAAGCATTCATTCGGCCCCCACAGAATTAAGTGTATGCACTTGTCCTTTTAAATTGGAATGCCTGCTTCCCTCATTTGTAAAACAGCCAGGCTGCTAACCTAACTTGTCTCCCTAACTCCTGATCTGTCTATACCACTGTTAAAAAGATCTTAATAAAACGCAAATATCTCCATGCCACTCCCCTGCTTAAAATTCTTTAACGCTTAACCATGATTTTCAGGAGAAAAATTCTCAAACCCATAACAGGCATACAAAGTTCTTCACAGGACCGTTCACTCTTCAGTACTACGGACCCTGCTCCCTTGATGCTGAACTCGAGCTGTAACAAAAGGCTACTTCCTGCGTTCAGTGTACTCATCTTCATGGATGTGAGAGCAACACACAGCTGGTGCGATGAGAATAAATCCGCTGACCACCTGCACCTCCGTTAGTGCCATGCTAACCCCTGCCCCCTCTTGGCCCGCCCTGGTGGTCTAGATTCAGATCCGGCGCTCTCCGCGAGTAGCCCAGTTTCACCTCCCGCTGGCTCAGGGAACCACCACCCATCTGTCAGTGGTCATGCTGTGGCAGCTGCAGGTTGCCAGGATGCTGAAAGCTCTGCCACTAGTGTTTCAAACACCAGCAGGTCTAGACAGGTTTCAGTGGAGCTTCCAGACTAAGACAGACTAGGAAGGACCTGGCCGCCCACTTCCAAAACAAGTGGCCATGAACACCCTGTGAATAGCAGGAGAGCATTGTTTGATCCAGCACCGGAAGGCAAGAGGATGGCACAGAAACACTGGGCAGGGTCCGCTCTGCTGTCCACAGGGCGCTAAGAGTGAAAAACAACTCAACAGCACTGACGACAGCTCCTCTTTCAGAAATCCACAGAAGGGTCAGCTCTTCTGAAAGTAATGAATAGCACTGACCTCCCTCTCCATGTTTCCTCCCACACATCCTAAACTTACCTCTAACAGAGCTCTAATCGTACTGCACGTCACTGACTGACTCATCTGTACCCCTCATTACACCGTGAGGTTCTTCACGGTGAAGAACCCCTTCTTCTATGTCTGTGTCACATTGGCAGACACCTGAGAGACTCCGATAAGTGACTCAGCTGCCAAAGATATGAGAGAAGGGGACCATGAGAGATTTCCGAGAGGGAAGGGAAGATAACATAGGGTCCGAAATGCTTGCAGAAAAAAGAAGTGGAGATTCCAGTAAGTAGCTGAAAGTAAGCTCAGAGAAAGGTCTGGCCTGGACGCAGAGATTTAACAGTGACAGGAGTGTGCCAGACCCACCAGCAAAAGCGCAGGCAGGAGAGGACCAAAGGTGAAACCACAGGCAGGCAGTGGGCAGAATCAGATGCGCCACGGAAGAGCACCGAGGAAAACAGCTCAGAAAGTGAGAAGGGGGCTGGCACACGGTGGCTGCCCTGAGAGAATGAGGGTGGCATGCGGAGGCCTCTAGAACGCAGGTGCAGCAGCTACGGGAGCGGACACTAACTGCTGTAAGCTGTGTTAGAAAGGACTGTGTCCATATTTTCATTACAGCATTTCCAAATTATATGGCATAAATGTTTACAAATCTGAGCCACGAAATATGCTTCCTGAAGGCAGAGACAATGAATCATTAATTAAAATTAGCATCACCAAAGCCTAGAAAAGAGTCAAAAAAACTGTTAAGTAAATAAGGGAGAGATGACCAAATGGGCTACACACACAGAACACCCTGTGAGGGACATCACGAGGCCTGAATAATTGCAGCCGGGAATTTAAAGGAGATTAAGAGTTACTGAGCAGCAGTGAAAACCTGAGTTTGTAACAGCCAATCGGCCGAGTCAGGCGACGCCCCCCCAGCACTCAGCATTAACTGAGGAAAACGATGGCTACTTGTTCTCAAGTTTGGGGCCCGAGGAGACCATGAAGGAAGCCAGAGAACTCAAGTTTTTATGCAGAGTGTCACGGTCACTCT